CATGAAAATCACAAACAGGAGTGGAGACAAGAAGCACCCATGGCAGAGTCCAACACCCGCAGTGAACGACTTTCATTTAACACCAAGAACATGGACACATGTCTCACTCTGGAAATAGAGAGACTGGTTCGGCACCATTCCATAATACGCCCGCAGCACCTCCGACGAGACATTGCGGGGAACATGGTCGTATGCTTTCTCTAAGTCTACAAAACAGAGGTAGACTGAAGAAGCATCCTCCTGAAATGAGAGAGAGCCATCCAGAGGGTGCCAGAGGGTAACGGGTACAGGCACCATTACGTAATCAGCATCAAATCCTAAGGGAGGATAATATCTGGGCCGGGAGGGATAGAAGGTAGATCGGGAGAGGACTCTGGGTCGGTGTGGGAAGCCTGGAGTCCAGACGGCATCGCTGCTCATCCCCTCCACGCCACGGGCCATGTGGCGGATCCTCCAACGGAGCTCACCTCTTCTTCCGGCACGCCATCAGTCAGCGGCGAGGCCGGGAGAACGGAGTGAGCCTCGTGAGTGCTTGGAGAGGGACGCCTCGTCTACGGTGGTGTGAAGAGGGAAATTACCCGGAGGGGAAAGGAGCGGAGCTGTGCTGTACTACTGTTAATTAAAGCACTCTGACAGAATCGGCGTGGAAGTTATTTATTACACTCCCATGACCCCTCAAATATCTGTGAGAGGGAAAAGAGCTGGTCCATTGTTTCACAACCATGACGGAATCCGCATTGTTCCTCCTGAATCTGAGACTCGACAACTGGGTGGGGCCTTTTCTTTAGCACTTTGGCATAGCCTTTACCTGGGACGTTGAGTGTGATTTCTCTGTGGTTGGAGCACACCCTCTGGTCTGCTTTCTTGAAAAATAGGAACCACGACCTGTTTGCCAGTCCAGAGGGACTGTACCCACCTTCCATGCAACATTGGAGAAGCATGTTAACCATGACATTCTGATAGTGTCCAGCGCTTTCAACAATTCTGGGCGAATCTTGTCCACCCCAGCAGTTTTTCCGCTACGAAGGCCCTCGACCGCTGCAGCGACTTCAGCAACTGTGATGGATCCGACCCCTCAGCTGTTTCCAGACCTGTCTGCTGAAAAGAGGGCATGTCCACTGGGTTGAGGAGCTCCTCAAAGTTTTCTTTCCACCTCTCCACTATCTCCATAGTTGAGGTCAATGTTACACCACCCTTACTGAAAACAGCCTGGGCCACGTCCCGTCAACCCTCCTAAGGCGTTGGGATGGTTTGCTAAAACATCTTTGAGGCTGCCGGGTAGTCCCTCTCCATGGCATCTCTAAACTCCTCCAATGCTTTCGCTTCAGCGACTGCCGGTACCTCTCAATCGAGTTGATAACTTTTTCCGACCTTAGCTCGGAAAACCTCCTGAAAATTTACAGTTTCGCTCACTACTGGTGTCCATCAGCAGGTCCAAGGCTTACCACCAAGACAGACACCAACTGCTTTCAGGGCACAGCTTTGCACAGCTGCATCCACAATCGAGGTCCTGAACATCGTCCACTCGGATTCAATGTCCACGACCTCCCCAGATATTCACAGAAAACTCACACTATTCGTTTGGGCCTTCCGCATATATCTGGTCGGTGCCCCATGCGCCAGATCCAACTTACCACCAGGTGGTGATCAGTTAACAGCTCTGCCCCTCTCATCACCCGAGTGTCCAGAACATATGGCCTTAGGTCCGATGATACAACTATAAAGTCAATCATTGACTTTCAGCCCAAGGTGCTCTGGTACCAAGCACACTTATGAGCATCCTTGTGTTCGAACATAGTGTTTGTTATTGACATTCCATGATTATCACAGAATTACAATAACATCTCACCATTTGGGTTCAGATCAGGGGGGGCATTCCTCCCAATCGCGCCTCTCCAGGTATCTACATCGTTTCCCACGTGAGCATTGAAGTCGCCCAGTAAGACTATGGAGTTGGTAGGCGGCACTCTGCCAAGCACTGTACCCACCATCTCCAAGAAGGCCGAATACTCTTAACTGCTGTTTGGTGCATAAGCACAGACAACAGTCAGAGTTTTCCTGAGACCCGAAGTCTCATTGAGGCGACCCTCTCATCCACTGCGACAAACTCCAGCTGAACAGCACCCAGCCGGGGACTTGTGAGTATTCCCACACCCATCCGGGGCCTCTCACTAGGGGTTACTCCGGATCGGAATCCAAATGGTTCCAGTTCCAATGCTGTGTGTGGAGGGGAGACCAACTATATCTCGTCGGTACCTTTCCTCTCCAGTGACGTGACATTCCACATCGCCAAGGTCCAGTCCATCTGAGACCATCCCTCTCCCTGGCATACTGGCATCGCAACCACCCTCACCCTTCGTTCTGCAGATGGTGGGCCCACAGGACGTCACAAAGCCATTTCAGGCTGGGTCTGACCGGGTTACATGGGTAACCCGGCCACCAGGAGCTTGCCGGCAAACTCCAGCCCCAGGCCTGGCTCCAGGAGTGTCCCGGTATCCTTTGTCAGGGCAAGGTTCCCGGATTTTGGTATTTCGTAACCATTCATAAGGGGCCTTATTTTGGATTGTTACTTGTCCATAATCTCCCCCCAGACCTGTTTGCCAAGGGAGACCCTACCAGGAGTACAAAACTCCAGGCGACATAGATCTGAGGGTAATTAGAACACACTAACCCCACGACCATTTTATGGTTACGATCCTTTGGTGGGGAAGAAGAATTTCAACAACTGTACATCACCTGCAATTATATGGACACTGACAAAAATAAACTAAACAAAATCTGGAAAGTTTGCAACGCATGTAGAGGTAAGTGCTTGGAATTACATCAAGATACAGAAATGGAACATGGATGAGAGAACAAATACCAACGAGACATCGAATAGAAACATCTAATAATCTAAAAGTTAAGTGGGCTTGGGCGAGACACTGCTAGAAATGACGATGTCCCGTGGTGAAGACTGACAACGAAGTGGAAACCAAAGGAGGAACACTCATAAGAGGAAGACCATTGTGAAAAAGCTATATGGATTTTTTCATCATGAGACTTTGACGGATGGTGACTTGGAGAAGCCTTCATACAACAATGGGTGCATCATGGCTGCTGATGATAAGCTATGACCAAGGAGGAAAAATTATAAATTACAACCAAACATAAAAAGTGCAGACTGGCTATTGGACAATCTCATAAAAACCTGAATTGTTGAGAATAAAATACCTGAAAACACATGGCGTTAATAACTTAAGCTTTCATGAGGCCCATGTCACATCATACAGCAAATTATATAGCACACACACTAATACTCACCCCATTAGGTCAATATATTCAGGCATGTTGTTCTTGTCAAATCCAAAAGCCAGGGAAAGTACACACTACGGGCCTTAAGTACTGTACACTTGAGAATATTTAAAAGTATAAACCCTTAAGTGTTTTTACACTCGTCGGCTGAAGATTATACATACAGTAATGTAAAACAAACAGTATACAAGTATGCAAAGTACAAATAACAGAATGTAAATTAACTTTATAGCCCTTTATCAGTCCACTGCGGGATGAAGTCCTCTCCATACTGTTGGTTCTGGGATTTGTTGGCCCATACTTCACCATCAGTGAAGCTTGATGAAATGGTGGGGGGGGCAGGACCAGTTCAGATATCACCGAGTGAAATCACGGTTGACAGTGCAGTGAATGAACCACTACATCACGTGATTACTAGAAAGTTCTAAAGAATCTGTAAGTAAACTTACCTATCCCCGATGTAGACTGTACCTTGCAATTTGTAAAAAAAACACTAACAATCACGTTAATACGTTATTTCAGTTATTGAATTAGCATTAACCGGTGCTGTATGTGGCGAGATGTTAACTCCCTCGCCTGGTATACAGGTTATGGGTCCGCCTTCAACCCGAGGTCGAATATTTGGAGTTTGCATGTTCTTCCTGTGTTCACGTGGATTTTTCTCCAGGTCTTCCCATTTTTCTCTCCATATTTAGAAACACGTGCTTAGAGTATTTGGCTGCTATAAATTTCCACATGATAAGCCACTTCATTGAGATATCAATTGTGGCCAGGTCGCTTGGGCCTTACATGGTAATATAAAAAAAATTTAAAGTTTAAAATGTGACCAAAGTACCAGAACAAATTAACTTTTGATCAGATTTAAAAATATTTACTTTGCTCAAAAATATGTAAATTCTATTCAGCGTTTCAAGCCACTACATTATTAAAACAAGACAATGTCAAAACGGCATTAAATACCGCAGTGTATAAACAAACGAAGAGAAATGCAAACACATTTGACGTCGAGCAATTACTAAGAATTACACTGATAATGTACGTGCAAAAGTAAAACGTAAATTCAGATATCACAAAAAAAGATGGTGGAAGCTACATAAACTATGCAAAGCCCCATCCCCAAACTTGGCAACCAAAACCTCACAAAAGACCGTAATCCCAAACTGAGCTGCCAGCTGCACTGGCCAGGGATTTTTTTTAATCCCATAAAACCTTGGCTTTTCAAGCCCAGGTTAGTTCTGGCCACCACCAGTTACCATGTCAATTGAAGCCAAATAATGGAAACAGCTAGAGTAACTTGATATGCAAATTGTTTGTGGTATATTCTATTTTTTTTACCACACTTCTCATACGTCAGTTAAATATATATTGTATGGTAAATAAAGACGCTTATCATCTTCATCAACCATGCCAAATGGACGGTTTTATAATTTTCAGGCTACTACAAATTATAATTAACCATTGCTTTGCATATGCATCCTCAATGTCAATATTAATTTAGTTTTGAACAAGACAAATGGATACAGGTTATACTTTCTGCATGCAATACTGATAGGTATGTAATTCAATTAGTGTATTATACTCAAATGTTGGGGATCACCTACCAACAAAAGTAGAAATGTTATGTTTTTATCATCGACCCTATAAATGATCATAAAGCTACACAATTAATAATAGACATGTAACAACAGACCAAAGGGAAAACCCAATTAGCCAGAAGGTGGAAGTGTTTATTCTTGGTTCCCAGTACTTGCAAATGAAGCATTCATTATATGTACAGTTCAACCGAAACAAGATTGATTGGTACGGGAAAAAAAAACATTTTAAACCAGTGTTTTTAGTGAAAACCTTCTGACAAAAGAAAAATAGATATTACCATTGCTGCCTTTAGTGCATGTAATGTGAACTGCAGTAGTGTATATTAAAAGCAAAACAGAGGCTTGATAGTGGTATGCGAACACTAGTCATATTCTGCCTTTTTAATTGATATACAGTTGTATAACTTAAAATACTTGTAACCATTTACAGATAACAACGCTACAGACAGTGATCCTCCTATGGCCCTATCTGACTTACCAAACGTTGGCATGTTGCATATTACTGAGGATTTTTTTTTTACAATGCTTTCGTACTGTCAAGGGCTCTCTTTAAATAGAAACTAGAAAAATATCACAAAGCCATCGATTAACTTGTGCATTGTTTCGTATTTTTAGCTTTGCGTTTAAACCGACTCCTCCTCCGCAGTGTGTCACACCGTCTGCGATAGCCCTCAGCTTCGTACACCTCTATACCTATGTTTAGATCATTGATGAGCTGTCGCCACGGTAACAAAGGTGCTTGTCTTGTCTCAGCATCTATCAGCAAGTACCGCATTCAGCCTGACATCATACCGATGTAGTCGATTCTCACATTGAGAAAGACTAAAAAAACATACAACACTTGCATCATTACGAACAGCAATGTCAAGGGGAGATTATATTATCGTGAAAAAAATTCACAAAATAAAGCAATGCTTTGGTTGCAGAGTATATAACAGTCCACAATCAGTGGTTGCAACAAACAATAGTAAAATCTGCCATACAATGGCATATAAATCACATTGGACTTGTACCCTGGCAGTACTTTAATAGTCAATACATTAACATAGCAAATCGCGAAAATTTTACATTATAAACACTTGAACATGAATTTGAAACAAATTATTCAAATGAACATAAAATAACCTCATAGGGCGCCCCCCCCCCCCATACACTGTATAGCCAGCCATACATTTCCAATTAACACTGTGACATATTACTTAAAATGTCCTCAAAAAGATGTTAAATGGGGATACAGTATGTCAGATTAACACACCTTAAAAGGAACACTGTCAAAAAGACTTCAAAAGAATGATGCAAAAATGGACTGTACTTAAAAGTGTCAGCTCATTACATTAACTGGAAGATTACAAAGCAGTTGTAACGAAATAATTAAGCACGTAAACATAGTATTCAACTAAAACCAACATTGTAGGATACTGCCTTATTACAAACAGCTCAAAATAAAATTAAACACCGTTGGAAAGAGCATACATTGTGAGAAGTTTTACCATTACAGTATATCACACTGTGAAGAAAATGGTGTGAAACAATTATTAAACATATACAAAAAATGCCACTGTGGTCCTCTACTGTATGTAAAAGTCCAGTCTGAAGTTCCAATCAACATCAGAGTTCAACAACAAAAATCCCCAAATATTTTTTTTTCATTTGTATCTAGCTCAATGGAGTTCATACGTTCACAACTGCATACTTTACAAAAAAAGCAGTGGGAAGCAATCCAGGCCACTGAAAGATTCACAGTCGCGTAACGATTCACCAGCAATTCGATAGGCAAATGTTTAATCTCCTGTACCAACAGCAACATTTATTCAACAAGAAGTTGTCCAGCTCAAGAGATTGACCAATTACCAAATGGTTTCTCACTTAAAAGAGGTGGCATAAATACACTTCACAAATGTACTGCTTTCTGCTGATGATTATTAACACCGCAAACAACTGCTTTTCAGGTCAAAGTTACAGCTGACTAACTTAAAACGTATGTTTTGTAATCTACTTAATGACGCATATTCGTTTTTTTGTAAGGTCACAGTAGTTTTATGGCAAAAATGTTATTAATCCTCTACCAGCCAACAACATTGTCACTTTTATACAAAGGTAGTATTTAAGCAAATAACATTTTATGTTACCCTTGTGAATATATTCATATGTTATAAAAAAAACATAACATCTTTGTAAACTTGACAATCTTGTTGGGTGGAGGATTAATGACAAGACTTTGGCATACCATTACATGAACTAAAAAACTAATATGCATCAGCCTATTAACTTTTCGGGATGAAATTAATATATTACCATTTAGAAAGCACAGCCCAGCAATAGTCTGATAATAAGTCTGAGGTGTGTTTTTCGGGATGTAATTAGTGGAAATTTAATGGAAGATTAAATGGTCGTCCCTTAAATCGGCTCCTTCTTATAGCACAGCATTTAAATATCAAAACATGCCAATAAAATATTACCTAGGTTTCTTATGTGACATCTGAATTCGTATTATTGGTACATACAATAAACTTAGCATTTTTCAATTTAAATGCCAAAAAGATCACCACTTTAAACATACATTCTGCAATATCAGTATCTGTACATGATTGTAAAAAAGTGAGAAATGTTTCACTAATTTTATTTTTCCACACTTCCTGTGAAACTAATGAAAAAGCACACCATGCGAATTGATGCGCGGCTTAAGATGCCACTCGTAAAAATTTTGATCGTAACATTGCTTTGTCTTTCTTGTACGAGCTGTGTTAATAAACTGAACAAAAACGTGGACAGTACACTTAAACATCACGGACGAATGCTGCAATAAAAATGATTTGGATGTTTTGCCATTGGATGCATACAACTGGACGACACTTGCCCGTTTGCCAACTGAATTAAGTGTCATCATTTGATTTCTTCCGGGTCCTTCTCACACACAACCAGTGTAGCATGAGCCATCCCCCTCCACAAGCCTCCAGTGTTTGTGTGAATTAGCAGCATCTCTTTAGCAGCCCCATCGTAATGTAGCAAGCTGGAATTTATAGGAGGTGCTGGGGCTCTAAAGTACTTGTGAAATACAAAAATCCCCACAAATGTGACCAAATGAAGTCGAATGTTTCCATCTTGCTTCAACCATTGTCCAAAAAGTCTCCATTCTGAAATGACAGAAAGAAAACATTAATCTTGTGAAATAAAGGTATTCCCTATTGTAAAAAAAACAGTTGCTTAAGATTACATTTGCAAAAAATATAATCAAATACCAGGTAACATCAGTCTAAAAATCACCAATGAAAGAACTCATATTTTGGCCTGGCAATTTTAAGTGCTTATTAGCTGCACAGAACAGTGCATACACAAAATAAAATCCTATTTCACATTGATCATCTACAAAACGGCCATGCGTTTGTGGGATACACTTGTCAATTGTATCAAGTTCTTCTGCGGGTGTTTCCCTTGTCCACAGCAATGTAATTAATAATGTGAATAGCCACAAAGTGTTGGAAGAAATATAAATATGATTGTGAGATTTTAACGTGGGATTTTTGAAGCCAGCTTTGGCAAAACCGATATTTATCACGACTTAGTTTCATATAAATTAAGGCACATACACGTAATCAAAGACATCATACGGAACGTGGACTCTTTAGCGCAAAATAACTTTAGGGATTTGTTTAGCTTACATGCCAATTTACATGCATCTAAGTACACCTATAAAAACTCAATCTTAATTATTCTCAGGCAAATTAGTCAAGTTGTGGATGAGTCATGTTTGCGAAACAATGTATAAAATATAATTTGCACGAGCGCTGGTTTAAATGTTTGCCGCTCCTTAGTCGACCGGGGATCAGGGGGTCAATGACCACCACACCGCATACACGAATGCCCTGAGAAAGATTGTTCAAGGGCACTTTATACATTTAAATTATTAGTTAAGAAAAAAATAAAATCAGACAATGTGTGGTGAAATTCTTTCGCACCGCATGCTTTCTATGTCTTCACTTATTTTTACAAAGGAAAATAATAATTAAGATTTTGCAGCCTAAATTAAATGTGTGGTATTGTCCGTGCTTTGTTTTATCTTAGTCGCTCCTCCACAACTGAGAGTGGACTGTATGCTACAGATGATATTTGAAAATAATTAATCTTCTGATGCAAGATGACATTTGTCAGCAACTTCACTATCTTTCCAATCACATATTTCTGTCATCGGCCCATTTTGGGTATGTCTATTCTCAAAACTTCACATTAAATGGCATTTTATATAATGAAGAATATAGCAGCCAAAGCAGATATAACATAGAACCCAATCAAAATGCAAAAAAAGCGTTTTGACCTTTTCAATTAAAAAATGATAACTTCATAATAAAGTCAGTTATTAATCGTTTTATCCCAGGGCAATAACAAGCCAGACTGATTATGTCACTGAAGGTCATTACTTAACAGATATTACATAATGGTTCGCAAACTTGCCTCCACGGTGACTGACATTTGGCATACGTTTTAAGATTAAGTAATACTAGAACATCTTACTCAGCATTCTTTAGATGTTGTTGATCTCCGAACAATAAAATGTAAAACTTTCACGAACATCGTATGTGTCTTTCTTAATTACCGTACATGAGACATATCCAGTTATAATCGTTTTTTTAAAGGCATAACATTGCATTTCTAATTATAAACAGACATAAAACGGTTCCCATATACAGAGTCCAATATGAAACAGCTCAAGCCCTTTACACTATTCATTTTCAGGAATGCTGTCTCTAGAATATGCAAAAAAAAGCCTACCTATTTACCACACATTGGCATGTACCCACATATGCACACCGAATTATACCTACATACTCTCGTCACCGTACACAGAGCAAGGTATGCAACCAATCCCCAATGTCAAGTTTTTCAAGGTTGTATCAACAGTTTTGGTAACGTCTGACATACAGTACTAATACACCATTTATATGCAGAGTTAAAACAAACAACACACGTAAAACTTGAATGAACAATATAAAAACATTTCACACAGCTACTAAAAACACTTTAGAAAGTTACAATTCTAGTTCAAGTAATGTCTATTCTATAAACCGTAAAAATATGCTCATACAATACAAACTACTTGGATTCCATGACTTACTTATATTGTTGCTCGGAATCAAACCACGCCTCGGAATCAGTCTGCATGTCAGGATCCTGATTCATCTATGACGTACGATGCCCTCAATTCTGTATGTCCAATTAATGCCATATGCAGTTATGTTTTATAATCACAGATAATGTTAACTCAAATCCTCTCAGGTGCAATTATTTGTAGGCATTCCTTGGAAAATGTCCGCAACAAATTAGCTACGTGGGTAGATGTATACCTAATCCTGGCATAAATATTTTTTTGGTTTTCCATACTATTGCTCAATATCCATCACGCTCTCATATTACATATACGTACATTCGAATGATCCATAATGTCCACAGTCTGATCCAATAACGAACAAAATTACTGTTTATTCATTCTTGATTTGAAGCTTTCGTGACTGCAGGAATCCATGCTCTTTGGTTCTTTCAGTAAAGTCACATAGGTATAAAATAAAATAAATCACGACATTTCGGGCGCAATACAAGCATCCGTCATCAGGTGGGAAAGCGTGGTCTGCTGCTGAGGCAACCTTTTAAAACAGTCTGCCTCAGCAGCAGACCACGCTTTCCCACCTGATGATGGACGCTTGTGTTGCGCCCGAAACGTCGTGATTTATTTTATACCTACGTGACTTTACCGAAAGAACCAAAGAGTATGTATTCATTGTAGTAGCATGGTTTCTTCCCTACCCTTGACGCGTATAAAACATGTATTGGGTTTGACAATTAATGGATTTAAAATATATACTTAATTAGAATTATGCCACTCCCATAATTTCCATTTTTGAGCATATGAATTGAACATCAGATGATGGTTTGGCAAGGTGGGTGTTTTTTTTTTACCGTCTTCAACATTTCATTACGTGTACAGATAAAGCAAAGTTGACCCCAAAATTATTTCCACTCATAAATGCAAGTCTTAACATTCCCATGGTGCCATTAGCGAATTCACATAATGCCCTATGCAGGACTGGCCTATCTTCATACAAATTATACTTCCAAATTTGATTGATATGAATAAGCAATCTACACTGGTAATATAATTATAAAAATAGACTTTCAGAATCTTTATTTAAAATATTTAAGACTGAAAGAATCCGATGAGATTTTTACTACTCCATAGGTTTTTGCAGTTGCGCTGTACATTATAGTTATCAGATGTGTTTTCAGGTCGCACTACATTATACTGCATATTGTTCGACATTAAGCTTCTTCAGGAAACGAACTTCAGTCACAAAAACACAATGACAGCTTGATTATTTACTGACATAACCTTACACGACTCTCTCCAAAAATGACTTTACATTCAAAGTGAAACTTCTCTTATCCATATTGTGGTGCAGCGCTATGGATGGCTCCTATGAGTTATCCTCACAACTCCTCTTTCTGCACTTCAATTAAAATATGCTTATATTTGCGCCAACCTAAACCACTTCCGGCCAATGCATTTTGTACTAAAGGACAAATACATTATGAGACCTCCTTTGCCAGTAACAAGATATAGGAATAGGTTTTACCCTTTTAACTGGCACAAAAACTGACACCTTTATTCAAGGCATCATGTTTGCAATAACCACAACACAAGCAGTCAAAATGCAAACAAAAAAGACAACTCTGATAATAATATGCACTGCCCTTGAATTTGATTGGTCCACACCCGAGACGGCTTTTCTTAGAGCCTAGTCTCCATTGGTGTCTGTATGTGGTTATTGCAAACATGATGCCTTGAATAAAGGTGTCAGTTTTTGTGCCAGTTAAAAGGGTAAAACCTATTCCTATAAAGGACAAATAGCCTATGATTTCCACTAGACTCCTCTTATCCATAATTAGTGTTACCTTCATCACTCAGCCTCATCATCAGCCACATCAAAAAATGTCATCAAATGTTGCGAGGCATTTTGAATCATGGTTAACTGAAACTTGAAATGATGGGAGCAATCTGCACCAAATATTATTTGCTTATGGATTCCTTGTACCTGTACAGTAGCACTGATAATGATTTCGCACGAATTAAAATTGGGGAGAACTGATATATAAAATTAACTAATATGGGAGGCATTTCACTGTTGTAATTTTAACAGCTAAACGACCGTGGAGATGATACTCTCTTGATCCAAATAAATTATTTAAATGTCCCAAAAAAAGACTATATTAAAGAATCTGCATACATCATGGATAAAATCACAAATTTGAATATTTCATGTGCCAGCATTCCTATGGATACAGTACTGTTGCATCAGAACATGCTGTATTCTAAATTATGTACAGTACACCTTACGCCTTAAACGTAAAATAAAACATGTGTATATTTACACAATTAAACATTGTACGTCCAAGTCCTACTCCAACAACATATCTTATCACAATGAGACTATACTCCTTCACTCACATGGGAAGTATGGCTTCTATGGCCTTAGCTTAAGAGTTTTGAGTTACAAAGTTGGAATTAAAAGTGATGACGTTAGGCTTAGGTTCAGATACTTACTTGGCTATGTCTCAAACTAAACAACTTGAATGCAATCTTAGCGTAGTTAGGCAAAAGTCTCACTAAAACACCGTTATTGGATCTTTGTTATTATTGAACTACAATTATAACAGGCAGTCCAAGCTCGTGGAATTGTAAAATACGCAACAGACAACTGCACATGATTGCATTCTCAATTGAAAACTAGTTAGAACTGCCCTTGACTATAAATTGTATGCATGTTGTCAACTGAACAGGCTGACGCCTGAATTTTAAACCTAAATTGTCCTTTACAAATATACCAGCAACACTAGAGCACTGGAAAACATTAAATACATTCTTAATTCAGCATATTTTTTAAAACCACATTCACAATTTTTTTACGTACTTGACCTTGCATAATGCACAATCGTGAGTCGAGACAGAAACACATTGTTTGGGTAGTGCTGTGTAACGTCAAGTTGTCAACATAATTGAAACCAGCCACGATGATGAAATTACTCTGTCAAGCAATTCAGATTTTGACAAAAAATAAAGTTTGATGCAGAAGACTTTGCACCAACTTACCTTTACCAGTTGAAGCTATTATACGACATTTAACATATCAGACGTAAACAAATCTTACCCTGTCATTCAACGCTGAAACTCGTCATGTCTTGTACTGAGCCAGCCAGGCCTTCACCTCAGCAGTCAGTCGCTTTGTAGCTCTTGCAGCTTCTGCCACGGCCTGCCGGTAGCGACCTTTTCTCTTGCGGTCAAGTCGGGCTCGGAAGCTCTCTTGGAAGGGTGCCAGCTTGGCAAGGGAGACAGCCGAGGTGGTGTGCGAGCCAAACCATGAAACAAGTGCCTCGCCGCTCTCCTGCTGTCCGCCTGGCCCAAGCTCTGGGCTTAAGCCCAAAACACAGGCAGGCCACCAGGGAAAGCCATGGATTTTGGCCCAAACAACGTCTCCAACGTGTACCTTTCGTCCATCTGGTGTAAAGCACTCTGTTATGGCTGAATCGGCAGTGCGCACTCTCACCGTGAGTGGTGGCACAGCTCTCTGCTGCCTTCCGCCCTCTCTTTCACCATGTCCAACCATAACACCCTCAGGTGGGAACTCGTCTGACGAAGCGCCATCCGAGTGAGATGCCGAATGTGATTCATTCTCGCTTTCGTTACCACTTGCCGAGTCCTCAGACAAATCGGAGGCGCCAATTCTGGGTGACGTCTCTCTGTCGCTTTCTGTCGCAGCCGATCGTCGCTTTATCCTCAAGTGAATGAACCTCCCTCCATCAGACTCCTCTCCACAAACACTGTCAGATTTAGATCGCACTAATGAATCCACTTCGGAAGGCGGGGAGTCCGTCACAACAGCTCTGTCGCCAACTAGCTCAGCTGTGTACACTGCTACACTGTCCCCATTCTTGGGACCACGTGGTCTAAGTCTGATTTTTGGCGTTGTTAACGCAGCATTTGCTGGATGTCGGTGGTGTTGTGTAGGCCTTGTGATTCTCAGTTTAGGAATTGCTGCAGGAATATCAGATGTTGTGGGTGTTGTAGGTCTCCATTTTTCACCCTCATTTGGACTACCCTTACCATTTTGCTGCTGTTGCTGCCCTTTTTTATGTCCAAAAGTGTTAGCACTGTGCACTTTTGAAGGAATTTTAACCACCTCACCTTTTCCTTGTGGGGTATTGTAAGAGATTTTAATTACAGGACTCCTGTGCACTACGTCTGATTCAAAGCCATCATTGTTCGTCTTGCAGTCTCTCCGCATTCTCTTGACTGTCGGGTCCATATCTTCTGGTCGGCGTTTCCGCAGCTTATCATCCACAATCAAGTCACATGGAGCGCTGTTACGACGCCCAGAGTCTGCTTTGGATTTGCTAGTACCTACACATTAAAAATAAAACATTAACATAACCACATCAAGAAGATTCACTGTACAATTTTCGAACACATGAATGTCACAAAAAATGTTTTATCAAATAGCAAAGCATGTAAGTAAACCTGTTAGGTTTTATTTGTAAGTCTGTTGACACTCTTACCATGTCCGCCACTTGGCTTTTCAGAAGTGATGCAGCTCTTGCACTTTTCACAGAGGACACGACGTGGCCGCAGAGTGATGGAGCTCACAATGAGCTTGCTTGGGTCATTGCGCGCAGTTCGCCGTTTGACACGCTTGATGCGGCGTGGAGGTGGCTGAGGCACAAGAAATTGGCCGTACGACTGTCGCAGCATGAGTGGCGAAGGAAGTGGGTGGCTCTCATGATATAGCAGAACCCCATTTCCCACAGCTTGTCAAATGAGGCAGGGAGTGAAGAAGAGAGAGAGAAGACCATAGGTAAATAGGAACGCGCAAAGCAAATGTTTACATTTTCACATGTTAACAAAAAATAATTGTACTATTAGTTTCAACATTCATTTTCTGAAATACAAATCTGTAACTAAGAAGTTTTAATTTTCATTACCACCTACATTAATACATGCAATTAATACATGGCTTGGTAGCATTAGGGCAGAGACATTGTATGCCATTTACACTACAATATTTTTTTTAAATATAACCATTAAGGTTTGCAAGATTACTTGAAATAGCACTTCTGGATATCTAAAAAAAATCTAGAAACTATTTCGTATGCCTGCTCCTGTACTTTAACATTTGATAATTCTAACATTGTTTTAAAAATGTTTGTCTACGTCACTGCTCCACGTTTGTGGAATACCCTTGTTACTACTCATCAACAGCTTGGTTCCCTCCCCGCACTCGCCCTATTTATATCCCTATTAGACCAAAACACAAAGTATACTTGTGCCTATATCTATTTTCTGGCGCCTCTTGCGCCTCCACATTTGCACTGTCTTTTTCAATTCACGTGTGTTTATATCACTGTTAGACTAACATTTAAAGCTTACTCGCACTTAGACGTTTCGAGCACCTCTTGCTGTCATTATGTTTGCACTGTTTTTTGCATGCGTGCGTTTAGTTTGCGACCATCAAATACCTTGTTTATTAATTGTGCAATATTCCTTAAGGACCCCATACTTGTTCTCTGCAATATTGATGTTTGTATCTTTTGTTATTGTTGTTGCTGTGTACATGCACCATGGATATCCCTTATAAAATGGGTAGCAAAACTGGCTAAGCAGGATAATCTATTTAAAAATCAAATCAACTCAAGCTAAACAAACATGACATTTTCAATGGCTTATACTGCATACCAACATATCTATGTGCGCAGTGAAATAGGATAACGAGATATCACAAACTAATTATTATGACTTAAACACAAATACAATACCACCATAATACTGCAGCATGTACCATTGGCAGTTGGACACCACGGTAAGGAAGAAGGAAGATTGAACGCATGAGGTTGGCCATGTTTCACCACCGAGTCCTGCAGATGAGTCTGCTCCATTTCTGGCGCCTCTTTGGGTTGAGCTGCATCTGCTACTGGAGAGTCTGGTGGCTGCGCCGAAGCCTGAGGCTGAGGCAGTAAAATAAGCTCGGATGGGCGCTGCTCACCCTTTGGGAATAATGCATCATACCCTTCACATGGGCCGACCCTGAAAAGATAGATGTGGAAAAAGGCCACAGTTAAGTAATATGACATAAAGGTCATTCACTGTAACGTATAGGGTATGGCACTCGTGATTCAAATAAAATATTTTCATGACTTTAACATTTTGCATCCTTACAAATTTCAACCAAATGAAACCATGTTTTGTATTAATGGCAGGACACTGTGCTTTAAATGATTATTACACTTCAGTATTCCCTCGTTTTTAGCGAGGGATACGTTCTGGAGATGCTCATGAAGAGCAAATTTCACGGATTATAATGGCCTACGGAAACATATATTTTTTAATAAATTACTCTAAATAAATACATAAGCAATTAAATACATTAAAATTATCTCATCAGTTCATCTCGTCACTTCATTTCATCACTTTCTCGCATCACATTCTCTCTCATCACTTTATCTCATCACTTTATTTCCTCTCTCTTGATGCAGTCGTGTAGAGTTCCTGATATGATTCGCGGATAACCAAAATCGGGGATAGCAAGTTCGTGCATAACGAGGGAATACTGTAAAGCAGTCTCAACTCCGAGCACCATATTTGTGACTTGCCCTTTACACTCCATTACATGGTGTATGGATAGCAACAGCGATCAATCATCGGCATAAGAGCAACTCTAGCACCATGAACTTCAGCAAAGAATGACAAAGCCTATGAGGAAATGGTGACCAAGATTTTCACACTTCTGTATTTTAACTCTGCTTACGATGTGTCTGAGTGACATTATGTTCACTCTAAATCAGACACGGAGATAATGCCCAACTTTGCACGGTATTTGGACAGATCAGCAGCCTCCTAGAGTATAGAAAAACTCTGATTGAACAGAAACTAAGTTAACTTTGCAAAAAATATTGTTTGATGATTAAAGGCATGTTGTTGTGAACTATCCCAAGAGTATCATTCAAAAAGATGTACAGATATAGCAAAAGTATTTACACAGTGCATAACTTATGATATACTGTAGAACAAAATTCTACATTTAAAATTGACCAAATATATAATTTATCACACGACAAAAAGTGATCCAAAGGCCTTCATATGCTTTCTCGTGTTCAACCGTTTACTCTTCAAAGCCTACAATTTGCCGATACAGCCACCTTAGGTTGTCAATGGAGGTCACCCCCCACCATGTTAAAATCAGCCATTTACATTAAACTAGCTGTCAATTGTGCACAAATTAATCTAAATAATTCTAGAGCAGTGTGTGTAAAGCAGCATATTTAAAGGGGGTTGTAGTGCATGGAATTACAGGCTCAAAATAAAACCGACTCATTATTTAAACTCAAGTTGTGATGGGTTTCTGTGGTTTCAGATGGCAAGGATGACTAACACCAATACTTCTACAATCTTAAGAGAGTAATAAAATCAAGAATGTTAAAACTGATGGAATATATGTAATAAAATGAGAAACCGTTTTGGAGAAAACATTTTGACTGCTGTGGTTATAAAACAAACGAAAGACAATAACTGTGCCTGAAATAGAAAGTATTAAATTAGAGCCCACTACTATACAGTGAGGGAAAAAAGTATTTGATCCCCTGCTGATTTTGTATGTTTGCCCACTGACAAAGAAATGATCAGTCTATAATTTTAATGGTAGGGTTATTTGAACAGTGAGACAGAATAACAACAAAAAATCCGGAAAAACGCATGTCAAAAATGTTATAAATTGATTTGCATTTTAATGAGGGAAATCAGTATTTGACCCCCTCTCAATCAGAAAGATTTCTGGCTCCCAGGTGTCTTTTATACAGGTAACGAGCTGAGATTAGGAGCACACTCGTAAAGGGAGTGCTCCTAATCTCAGCTTGTTACCTGTATAAAAGACACCTGTCCACAGAAGCAATCAATCAATCAGATTCCAAACTCTCCACCATGGCCAAGACCAAAGAGCTCTCCAAGGATGTCAGGGACAAGATTGTAGACCAACACAAGGCTGGAATGGGCTACAAGGCCATTGCCAAGCAGCTTGGTGAGAAGGTGACAACAGTTGGTGCTATTATTCGCAAATGGAAGAAACACAAAAGAACTGTCAATCTCCCTCGGCCTGGGGCTCCATGCAAGATCTCACCTTGAGGAGTTGCAATGATCATGAGAACGGTGAGGAATCAGCCCAGAACTACACCGGAGGATCTTGTCAATGATCTCAAGGCAGCTGGGACCATAGTCACCAAGAAAACAATTGGTAACGCACTACGCCGTGAAGGACTGAAATCCTGCAGCGCCCGCAAGGTCCCCCTGCTCAAGAAGCACATATACATGCCCGTCTGAAGTTTGCCAATTAACATCTGAATGATTCAGAGGACAACTGGGTGAAGGTGTTGTGGTCAGATGAGACCAAAATGGAGCTCTTTGGCATCAACTCAACTCGCCGTGTTTGGAGGAGGAATGCTACCTATGACCCCAAGAACACCATCCCCACCGTCAAACATGGAGGTGGAAACATTATGCTTTGGGGGTGTTTTTCTGCTAAGGGGACAGGACAACTTCACCGCATCAAAGGGACGATGGATGGGGCCATGTACCTTCAAATCTTGGGTGTGAACCTCCTTCCCTCAGCCAGGGCATTGAAAATGGGTCGTGGATGGGTATTCCAGCATGACAATGACCCAAAACACACAGCCAAGGCAACAAAGGAGTGGATCAAGAAGAAGCACATTAAGGTCCTGGAGTGGCCTAGCCAGTCTCCAGACCTTAATCCCATAGAAAATCTGTGGAGGGAGCTGAAGGTTCGAGTTGCCAAACGTCAGCCTCAAAACCTTAATTACTTGGAGAAGATCTGCAAAGAGGAGTGGGACAAAATCCCTCATGAGATGTGTGCAAACCTGGTGGCCAACTACACGAAACGTCTGACCTGTGTGATTGCCAACAAGGGTTTCGCCACCAAGTACTAAGTCATGTTTTGCAGAGGGGTCAAATACTTATTTCCCTCATTGAAATGCAAATCAATTTATAACATTTTTGACATGCGTTTTTCTGGATTTTGTTGTTATTCTGTCTCTCGCTGTTCAAATAAACCTACCATTAAAATTATAGACTGATCATTTATTTGTCAGTGGGCAAACGTACAAAATCAGCAGGGGATGAAATACTTTTTTCCCTCACTGTAGCTACAGCACATGGATTAAAAAAACAAATTTAAAATAAATGGAAGCTGAAAAGTGTGCAAAGAAGCATGCTTGGAAATACACTGGAATCCATAAAGATGGGCTTATGAATCAGGGAATAAATACAAAAAGAAATCATATAGACCATTATTCATATATAGAGACTGAACATTTTGGCAGGACACACCATGATAACAGACGATGAACGATGGTCCAATAGACATGACTGGTTAAGAAAACACAATTAAAGGTAAAACAGCTCGACAGAGGATGACCGCTACACACATGAAGGGATGTGACCACTTCATGTGTTGGAGTGAGACGGATTATGGAATTACTGCCCATGAGGCACACCAACGGTGTGAACAAGCCATCACTAAACAATATATAAACATTGGATTATGATGATGATGAGCAAGAACAGGGCAAGTCCCAATCCAAAAGAACTGTAACAAGATAAACACATATTTTACGGTAACTTTGGGTACAAACTGTTTCATAACAGGAATAACCACTTTATTGTAAAAAAAAAATTTGGAGGTGGAGCCATGGCACAGTTGTGCATACTTTACTATGAATCTGCGTTTGAATCCCAGCCATACCAACAGGAGTGGCGAGTGATATCTGGACTGGTCGTTGGCCACCTCTCACTAACCCACAATCAAGAAGGATCAAACCTCCCCCAACACCAAAGTTTGTCAAAGGACTGTATTTATATTGTTGAGTGAGGATATGGAAGTCTTGTTTAATCGTAAATATATTTTTTTAAATCAGATTGGATAAGTGACCAATATAAATAATTTGAAAAGAAAAATACTGCTTGCTTGTTCAATAGTCACCTGAGAGTCCAAAAACAAATGTAAACCTGTTCAAGGTTTTCTGTAATGATCTGACCTATCAAAGCTGACAAGATTTGGCAATGCCTTTAAAATGGTAAATTCATGTTCTATACTTAAAACTTTCGTGACTGCAGGAATTCATATTATTTGGGTCTTTCGGTAAAGTCACGTAAATAGGTTCAAATGAATACAAATGAAATAAACAAAAAAAAATACGTTTTGATCACAACATAAGCGATCGTCATCTTTTTTTGTTCCTGATGACGATTGCTTGTGTTGTGATAAAAACGTCGTAGTTTATTTGTATTAATTTGAACCTATTTACGTGACTTTACCGAAAGACCCAAAGAATATCATGTTCTATAATTATACAAAATGCATATATAAATTGCAGAACTGAATAAGAATTCCAAAACTTGTAAAGCATTTATATTAAAAATGATAAACATAAATAAATCGTAATCAGTAGCTTTGATCAACCCACGACTAGAGGATGGCCCCCAAAAGCCATCACTCATCTCTCAATAGTCCTTCGAGCACCTGTGCACGAACCAATTTCATAATTCCACCTCCGTCGTGATCATCCTCTCATATAAGTTCCCTGCTTTGGCTGCCACACCATGCGTTTACAATATTTGTCCGCTGCAAAGTTCCACATGTCAATCCACTTCGTTGAGCTATCATTTGTGACCAGGCCACTTTTAATAAATAAGCTAATAGCTCAGTGGACTTTACCTGATTAAATAAAAATTGTGTTTTATTTGTGTTTTTTAGTGGTTTGCTTCTCTTTTCTATACTTTGCACTCTGGTGCGTTTTTGTATTGTTTGTTGTTGTAACGTTCTGACCTGCCCCTACTGGACATCTGTGAAAAAGAGCTTTACAGCTCACCAAATTCCTCCAGAATAAATATTCTGATTCTGAAATCTTGACCATCTACCACTATCACTTCTAGAATGTGTCATACCCAGGCCCACACCCACATATTTCTTCACAGTGAAATGTTTATATCTGGTGTTTTATTCTCTAATCCAGGTGTTTCAGCACAACTCGATATTAATGTGTAGATATGAATTGGCTCAATCTTGGCCTTATTTTAACTCTCTAAACGCCGAAAAATGTCTACCTGTTATGTTAGACTTAAATTAGCCCTGTTAGCCATACACTGCTGGCACCGTAAAACTGAGTTCTAAACACACAAGCGAGTTGATGAGAGAAGGGAAACAATGACAATGGACTAGAAGGCAGCATGTGGCTGTCATCCTTTTGACCTTAAAAAAGTATTGCTGTTTAAATGGTAAACGGGCCCTGAAAGTAAGTCTTGGAACTTCATGAAGTATCAATTAAATACACTAATCAATACTCTCAAACTGGAAAATGTCCAATTTAAAAACATCCCAAAACTAGTTAGTTTTGAAAGCTCTTCATTATAGCTAATTACGGATTAATGTTATTGTACAATAACTGTCAAATGTGCCAACATCACTGATATTTCAAAACCGAGATATAACTTTTTAAAAATAATTAGTGACTGGGATCACATTAAAAGTTTTTTTTAAAAATGCAAATCTTTGGATATTTCAACGAATTCGAGTTAAGTTTGTTCTAACAAGGCTTACCTATCAAACATACCAATTATGGCCAGATAATGGTTCACTTTGTGCTGTCACAGCACCAATATTGCTGTTTGGTGGGTTCATAATTCTAAGGACCACACCCAATTTGGGTTATGAATTCACAAGTTGGGCAGGTCACTCATCCTTCTTTAATGTGGTTAAATGGGACAACGTAATTGCAAGCACGTATAAGACTACTGTGTATATATAGATGATACTTTCCCAAAGGACTGTACTGTAATAACATAAGCCGGTCTCTGAAAGAAGCAGCTTCCAACATTCTAAACAGTTTATCATATAAAATGTTTGTGACTCATTGAAATGTATTATATTAAAATTATCAAGTGTACATTATGTAATGTTTTATTGGCCATATTTTAAATGAAGTGGCCTTCTGGATGCAAAATAATGACCACGGCACATGATGTATTGAGATTGTCACACAGTGGTATACCAGACACTGGAATTGTTTACAAATTTAACTTAATAAAAAATAAACCACGTTTTTTTAAACCTTCAAAATACACACGCCAATGTATGCACTTACCAAATATTATGGTTTGCCTTTATTCATGTAGTATGTATTGATTTTATCTCGTCAGTCAACTTTTTTAAAAATACGTTACCAAGTCAAATTCCAAACAGGATTACATTTAAAAATCAAACACACCGCACAAGTTATCTTAAAAACCTCACAAAACGCACAAACGAGTATAAAGATGCTGCTTTCAGATTAATCGTTGTCCATCCTCCAACTTGAGTTTCTTCCCACTTTTATTGACACACACAAAATATAAGACCACACGACAAACATACAGACTTCATGGCGACCGAAACTCAACAATGTAGAAACATTTATTTAAAACATTACGAAAGAGCATGTATTCGTTAACAAACAAAAAAAGAAAACCCACGGCTGACGATAATTGTCAAAATGGATTAAAACACAGTGCCTTGCCTGCGGCCTACAGACTGCGTGCTCACTCGAGGCGCTCCCCACCACCGGCCCTCGGATAGCTCGCCCTGCCGGCCTCCACGCAACGAAGGGCGGCCGAGGGCCCAGGCGAGGCCGGGGTTCGTGGGCAGCTGCGCGACGGGAGTCCGTCCCGCCCAGCCGAGGGCGAGGCGCAAATCACCCAGAATGGTCGCTCACCTCTTCGCCACGTCCATAAGCACTCCGGAGAAGGTCCTCGCGCCGAGCGTCACGGACACCACGAGCACCTCGTTCACGACCATCTCCACGGTGGCGGGCAGCACGGAGCCCCTGAGGTGCGGGCCCACGTCGCCCTCCGCCTTCGCCATCTTCCCGGGGCTGGAGGCCGAGGCGCGAGCGCGGCCGACATCAGCGGCGGCGTCGGCCAAGGGCCCCGAGCCTTGGGGGCGCCGACGGTCGGCAGCGCCGCCTCGCGGTGCCGCTGTTGTCACTGCGTCGCGTGCCCGACGCTTTTCGGGGTTCTCTCTCGCGGTTGTTTGCTGCTGTTGTTACCACCACCGCCGCCGCCGCTGCTGCCCGTTGTTGTTGTCACTGTTTTTCTGCTTCTTCTTCCCTTGATGTTGTCTTGGCCCCGTCTGTTGTCACTTCTTGCTGGCAGTGTTCTTCAAACCGCCGTTTCAACTGACGTTGGCCCGTGGCCATGTGCGCGTGTTAGTGCCACTGCCGCTGTTGGTCCCCTGCTGTTGGCTGCCACCGACAGTTGCCCACTGCGGTTGCCACCGTTGCCGCCGGCGGCAGTTGCCACTTTCGACTGCTGCTGCTGTAGTTGCCACTCCCGTGTGCTGGTGCCACTCGCTGTCGTCGCTATTGTGTCGCCGTGTGCCAGCGACACTAGCGTTAGCTCGGCCTCAAATGAGTGAGCGCCCGGTGCGGTGTGTAAACATCGCAACTAGGGAGACAAAGGCGGCCGGGCGTGGTGCTGGACACCCAACTCCATCGTGTGCCATTCCGGCTTTCGTAGGTGCTCGCCAACAGCACTTGCCCCAACAGTCTATAAAGGCTAAGCGGGGGACCTTTGCCTTTGCAGTAAACGCTATCGTTGTGCTGAATTTCACTATGCTCCCCACATTCACTGACCTGCACTGACCAGCGTGGTGACACGGTGAAATAACCCGGCAAATAAACTGTGCGGAGAGGCCCTCGTCCAGCAGTGGATTGAAATGTTTTCTGACTGCGTGTGCTGGTGCCAGGACAGCGTGTGTGCTGGTGCCAACAGTGTGTGCTGGTGCCAGGACTGCGTGTGTGTTGGTGCCAACACTGCGTGTGTGTTGGTACCAACACTGCGTGTGTGTTGGTACCAGGACTTCGTGTGTGTTGGTACCAGGACTGCGTGTGTGTTGGTGCCAACACTTCGTGTGTGTTGGTACCAGGACTGCGTGTGTGTTGGTGCCAACACTTCGTGTGTTGGTACCAGGACTGCGTGTGTGTTGGTGCCAACACTTCGTGTGTGTTGGTGCCAACACTTCGTGTGTGTTGGTGCCAACACTTCGTGTGTGTTGGTACCAACACTGCGTGTGTGTTGGTACCAGGACTGCGTGCGTGTTGGTACCAGGACTGCGTGCGTGTTGGTACCAGGACTGCGTGTGTGTTGGTGCTACTACTGTTACCAGTACAAATACCATTGCGATATGGCATTGTGCTTTTTTGAAAACGGATGTAAATTATATACCTGCTGTTTGCTCAACCGTAAATGTAAGAAGAGGTTTCGTAGTTCGTTTAAAACATTATCTCATGTAGGAAGGGCGGGTGATTTGTCGAAAACATATAACCTCACTTTTGAGGTGGGCCATAGTTTGTAATAGTTTTAGAAATGTTTTAAATTATGGTTTTAGGCAGGGCCCTATTTTACAATGTTTTGACATTTGGAAGAAAACGAGAGTACTTGAAGATACCGATTAGCACGGTTGGCTATGTACGGTGCGAAAGACGTTCAACATACATGTGTACGAGGAAATACTGTAACGTGCAAAGGTCAGCATATATGTGGTTTCGTGAACCCACCTGATACATTGCCATCTGGCAACCTCAGACTCAAGTACAGTGAGGGAAAAAAGTATTTGATCCCCTGCTGATTTTGTACCTTTGCCCACTGACAAAGAAATGATCAGTCTATAATTTTAATGGTAGGTTTATTTGAGACAGAATAACAAGAAAATAAAAAAACGCATGTCAAAAATGTTATAAATTGATTTGCATTTTTAATGAGGGAAATAAGTATTTAACCCCCTCTCAATGAGAAAGATTTCTGGCTCCCAGGTGTCTTTTATACAGGTAACGAGCTGAGATTAGGAGCACACTCTTAAAGGGAGTAAAGTCACACGTGTTATTTTATTTTATCAATTTATTATTTAATTCTCATTCTACGTGACTTTACCGAAAGAACCAAAGAAGATGAATCCTTGCAGTCACGAAAGCTTTAAATCGAAATTTAAGGTGACAACAGTTGGTGTGATCATTCGCAAATGGAAGAAATACAAAAGAACTGTCAATCTCCCTCGGCCTGGGGCTCCATGCAAGATCTCACCTCGTGGAGTTGCAATGATCATGAGAACGGTGAGGAATCAGCCCAGAACTACACGGGAGGATCTTGTCAATGATCTCAAGGCAGCTGTGACCGTAGTCACCAAGAAAACAATTGGTAACACACTACGCCGTGAAGGATTGAAATCCTGCAGCGCCCGCAAGGTCCCCCTGCTCAAGAAAGCACATATACATGTCCGTCTGAAGTTTGCCAATGAACATCTGAATGATTCAGAGGACAACTGGGTGAAAGTGTTGTGGTCAGATGAGACCAAAATGGAGCTCTTTGGCATCAACTCAACTAGCCGTGTTTGGAGGAGGAGGAATGCTGCCTATGACCCCAAGAACACCATCCCCACCCTCAAACATGGAGGTGGACATTATGCTTTGGGGGTGTTTTTCTGCTAAGGGGACAGGACAACTTCACCGCATCAAAGGGACGATGGTAGGACAGTCAGCGCTGTCCTACCAGACAGTCTCGCCCCCCTTCACCTGATGAAGGCCGCTTGTGTTGTGGCCAAAACGTCGTGAGAATATTATTGTGTTATTTATTTTATCAATTTATTATTTTATTATCATTCTACGTGACTTTACCGAGAGAACCAAAGAAGATGAATCATTGCAGTCACGAAAGCTTTAAATCGAAATGTATTAATATTTTAGAGTTTTTATTACAGGGGAAAGAAATGTCAAAATTAAGGGGTGGCAGAAATAGCTATTTCAAATCTCAGTCAATGGGTTATAAGCAAAATAACAGCCAACAAAGTGACTGGATTACACTAAAATGTATTTAGGTTTGGCCTGCAGTAATATTAGATGAATGCAGCAACCATGGAAATCCACACCAAATAATATAAAATACTACGATACTTTTAATTAACATTTCAAACAAAAACGGGCGTGAACAAGCAACACAAGCATAACATGTAAAACGTGAATGTCTCCATGTGAGTTAGGTAGGTATACTTGACTACAGAATTGTCTATGGTGTGAGAATTTACAAAATGTTTAATCCCTGATGGTCAAGTTAAATTGAACCGTCTTCATTATTTTGATATTATTAATGATCACAAGTAAATTTACAAAACATTACCCGAAGTGCTATCTGAATATCGATAATACTCTTGGTTGACCTCTAAACCCAGAGGAAAAGGCTTATACTGTATGTTCCACAAACTGGTCACTGTGGTGACCTTCCTGACCACTACAAACAACTAATTAACCCTCCAAATACACACGTCTGAAAATGGGTAAGCCAATTATCCATTTCGATTTAAAGCTTTCGTGATTGCAAGGATTCATCTTCTTTGGTTCTTACCGAAAGAACCAAAGAAGACCAATTATCCATGCATAATAAACAAGTCTCGATGTTTTCCAAATGAGATGGCTGTTCCTCACCCTACTCAGACAAGTTTATCAGCCTTGTCAACGAGCCCCCCCATCTGTCGTCTTACACACACGCCCTTAGCTTCGGAAAACAGGCAAATATCTCTGTCAATGCATACATAACGTGTGTCAACCGCAGTCGTCTCTAGACTTAGGATTTTTCAAACATATCCCCAGCAATGGACTTTACAAAGCTGTAAACCTTGTTGATACATCCAAATTAGTGCTCGCGCATCACAGTTCATTCGAGGGTATGCAATTTTATTGTGTTTTGAGTGCCTTAAATGCACAGCTGAAAATAGCAGTTGTCAGCCAAGCTTCACCATCAGCTCCTGGTGCACAACAGGCATACATCACTATGCACCATTACCGCAGAACATTGATAATTGCATAGAAATGCATTTCAATTGATGCAACGGTTACTACTACTTATCCAGTAATTGCAGTCACAGTAACTTCTGGTCTTAAAATGTGCTGTTTGGTTCCCTTTTGGAAATTGGTCAATCAAGATAGCAAATTAAAAAATAAACTGCAGAACATATCTGTTTGGCTTCAGGTAACCTCCGAGTATTCGGCACAACTAGCGAAAAACACAGTTTGCATGATGGATTTTGCCTGGTGGTAAGCCGTCTTATTATTGCCCCGGGGCTATAGAAGTAGGCACATCTTTAATGCGACGGATTGCGACACCATAAAAAGGCAACAACAAAACTCCAGCAAAACGCTGGGCAAGTGGCCAAGAACGAGTGGGCGTCGAACAGTCGCATGCCTCTAATTCAGTGCTTTGGAGGCGGTGGTGATTGGTGGATCACACACATTTGTGAAACTCCCAAACATGATGGGCTTCGATGTTGCCGTGAGATGGCATTACAAAAAGTGGTTTGCATTTGAATCTGTGTGTGGAGCTTTGAATATTTTGTTCGCTTGTCTTAGTGGATTTTATTTTCCAGGAACTGTTTTCCTCCCACATGCCACTTAGAAATGGACTTTGTCAAACATCCAAATGTGGCATGACTTCTTGAATATACAAATAAATTACGTAATAATTCATCTTATCAACTTGACAGCATTACACTACCACCGTTGATTGCACTGCAAGGCGTAATTGCGATTTGTGTGCGTGTGGAGGCAACAGGGATTTCTCACGGAGCTTCTCCACATGGCCCTTTTGTGAATCTGATGAGCTAAGGGGTTTTCAATCATGGCTCAAGAATAAAAGAGACAGTAAATCATTCTTTCTGCTTCCCGGGGATAGGGCCCTGTGAAGTGCGATGAGTGCAGCTTCATTAAATAATAAGTGGTCACCCAGGAGCGAACAACACTGACTGGTTACTGTATTTGGTATCAAATATCCGGTTACATTTTTCTCAAAACGTTCCAGTAGAATGATTTTCTAATTTAGTGAGTGCGGCAGTTCAACGCACTTAATTATTCCTTTGTATGGATACTTGCACCGTACAATGTATCCAAGCCTTATTTGAAAGGGGCATTTGAGAAACATGCAACTCTCTTTCAAATAATGTAATTCCTTCTCGTTGAAATATATTAAGATGCATTGAAGTCGTTCTAATTACTTAGAGCATCGAAATCAGTTATTATACAGCAGTGTATCCAATGACATTGTTTTGCATATTATATTAAGATTTTCTATCCTTTCGTAAAATTAGGTGTGCTTTATCTCATTACAATAAAGTGTACATTACATTTGTGGTGTCATTTTAGTCAACCAAATAGGTGTAGTGTTAAAAGTCCGTCCTTTTTTTCTGCTGGAAATTGTTAAAACAGCTTTGAGATAAAAAAAATGGTATCAAATAATGTGTTATAAACTATTTCAAAACGATGCAACAATAACCTGATGACACATCTAATTTCAAGAGTTCCATGACAAGAGAGTGATTAACATTGCCAAGATAACATTTGATTTGTAATGGAACTTTAATTTGTATATACAGTACTGTCTTGTGATTTTTAGCAATAATTAATATGTTAGTGATTTGCTTACGTTCTTTCGCCGAAAGAACCAAAGAGTATGGATCCCTGCAGTCACGAAAACTTCAAATCTAGATTTGCTTACCTTTTCTATACTTTGCACTCCGATTTTTTCCGTATTGTTTGTTGTTGTAACTTTCTGACCTGCCCCTACTGGACATCTGTGAAAAAGAGCTTCATAGGTCATCGGAATTCTCCAGGATAAATATTATGATTCCGATTCACTGGTAAGGTTCTGGTGCTGACAAAACACGTCATTACTTTATGTACGTTGTTTTTGTGTCCAACCGACAGTGCAGTTCGTGGGGTTATTTTGACCATACTTCATTTTGCTGGTAAGTGCGGGGAACATAGACGTGGCAGTATCGAAGCACATAGTAGAGTACAACAATGAATTTTGCTGCACTGCTGCCAAAAAACGTAGCGCAAAATTAACGACGCCTATGACAACCGTGAACAGTGGTAACCCATTCAACCACGAACCAGGCTCAAACCTGTTTAGCTTCGAGGATCTGACAAGGATCGGGCTCATTCCGAGTGACTTTGGCATAGGCGCATTGTGTATAACCAACTGAATACGTAATCACTCGTTATTTGCAATTATAAGTAAACATTAAATATTGTAAACGTTTTGCTCTAACCTGGTTTAGATGCTTTATAAGATTGCATATACAAGTACCGTATGTGACATTAATCAAAGTGATGTGTTGATCAAATGAGCATTGGGGTGATGCGCGTCTATTTACAGCCCTGGGCCAGTGGTGGAAATTCCACATTTGTATGGCGGTGGGGAGGGCGAGTCTATCCATAAGACAACCACAGTTGACTTCCCCCCCCCCCCCCAGAAAGCGGTTGTCGATTTTATGGACCCCAGCAGGGATGATGGGCTGAGTAAGTAGCCATGCGTTCATTACATTCGTGGATAGAGTCAGGATAAAGCTGTCCGGACATAGCAAGCGTTGTGACTTGCGTGTGTGTGTTGAAACCTGATTGACCCCGGTGGTAGTTCAGGGTCAATCGGGGAGAAGTAGTGGAGCAGTAAGAGCATCGCGCTACGAACTCAGCGACCCGAGTTAAATTCCCGCTCACGACCAACACCAGTGACGATTATACGAACCTCCCCTAGGTCGACTCAGCCTCAAATGAGTACCTGGTGCGGTACGTAAAGACAAAGGCGGCCGGGCGTGGTGCTGGCCACCCAACCCCTCGTTTGCCGCGCCGGCCTTCGTAGGTGCTACTCGCCAACGGCACTTGCCCCAAGAGTTTGCTCAGGCTATACGGGGGAACTTTATCTTTGTTGAAACCTAGAACCCGATTGACCTTCGTGGTAGTCCCTGAGCCCATTGAACAGGGGTCGGATACTGTGGCTCCGGAGCCGAAATCGGCTCTTTGGCTGCCCCCTTGCGGGCAGCCGTTTCTAAGATAAATAAATACATCTTAAACACAATTTAACGTAAAGATAATGTATTAAATATGGCAGGGAATGGGGGCACTATGGAATGTCTTGGTGACAAAAGCTAGTCAAGCTGTACTGTTAAAGATTAACTAAGGAGTGTGGGGGCTGGGACGAAAACAGACATAGTTTTATTCCATCACCTATTCTGTTTATTAAAGTCAGAATTTCGTTTTGTGATGTTGTATACCCGCTGCTGTGTTTGTGTACAAGTAGCTCTGCGTGTGCGATTGCGGCTCTCGATCTATTATGGTCAAAAACAAACCCCACCAAAAATTATCTCTCCTTCTTCTTTGAACGGCTGCTAACCCCCTTGCACTAATCGAGTAATTGCTCCCATGGGGAGGATGATTGGGGGGTTAGATCGTGTAAATATAAATGTGTCGTTAAACCCGCCACCACCCGACACAGCCAATTAGTAAGCTTTGTCACGTAAACATAAAACACACATGCCAATTTGTTCCGAGCACAGCACACCTGGTGTGTTGGACAGCAAACTCACGACATATACAATCTCGGCTCCGACATTTACAATCGCCTTGTCCCTTTCGGTTGTTTTTTTGCTCGTTTCCGTCTGTGAGTCGCAGGAACTCATGCGGAGAGGGCCCCTTCCCGCCCCTTATGATTTGCGTGGAAGTTGAAACGCCACCCACCACCAACACACCACCACCCACACACCACCACCCACCACCAACACACCACCAGCAACACACCACCACCCATCACCAACACACCACCACCCACCACCAACACCCCACCACCACCCACCACCAACACACCACCCACCACCACCACCCACCACACACCACCACCCACCACAACACACCACCCCCACGCCACACCAACACACACCACACACCACCACCCACCACCACCACCAACACACCACCACCCACCACCAACACACCACCACCCACCACCAACACACCACCACCACCCACCCCCAACACACCACCACCCAACACGAACACACCAACCCACCACCAACACACTACCACCCAACACCAACACACCACCACCAACACACCACCACCAACACACCACCACCCAACACACCACCACCAACACACCACCACCAACACACCACCACCAACCCACCACCACCCACCAACACACCACAATCAACACACCACCACCCAACACACCACCACCCACCACCACCACCAACCCACCACCACCCACCACCAACCACCAACCCACCACTACCCACCACCAACACACCACCACCCACCACCAACACCCCAACAACACACCACCGCCCACCACCAACACAACACCACCCAACACACCACCACCAACACACCACCACCCACCACCCACCACCACCAACACACCACCAACACACCACCACCCAACACCAACACACCACCACCCACCACCAACACACCACCAACACACCACCCAACACCCCACCCAACACACCACCAACACACCACCACCAACACACCACCACCCAACACCAACACACCACCACCCACCACCAACCCAACCACTCCCACAACTCCTTTGTCAGAGAAGCGTTGTTCACGGAACAGGAAATTGGGGCCGTGTCCTTCCCTCCCTCCCTCTCTCTCGCACTCTTCTAATGGGACGCATCGCCATCCGGCCTACAGCGAGACCGCCGTGGCAAAAGTTTGTTGTTATTATTATTGTTGTTACTTCCCGTTGTTATTTCGCCTAATTTGATCCCGTGTAATTTGTTGAGACCAAGAAGAAGAAGCAAAATAACCGCGCAAATTCAAGCGAGGATACATTTCTGACGGTCGCGTTATTTGATTTAGTTTTGTTTGGAGATCGTTTTATATATATAAAAAAAATTATGTAATCGTAAGATAAGGCGCCCGTTTCGTTTACGACGCGAGATTGCCTCTTTTGTGGTTGATAATTACATCGGGTGTCGTTTACAGCCTGGCTGTTAGGCCCGGATGAGTTTTTAAGTCGTTTAAATAAGTGTCCGATGTAACAACTTCTGACGGGTTTTATTCTCAATACGCGTAGACGCTATACAGTACTCGATGAGGGATGTACTATTTAAGTGTGTACAGTTTGGGAAGAGTTACGTTATAGGGGTTTTATTTTTTTTTGTTTGGGGTCGCTTGGATAACGCCAAAGGGCGCACGCAGCTTCGGGAATCTCCCCTCTTTATTGACTAAACTCATCAGGTGATTCTCACGGCGTGTTAAAATTGTAGTGGTTAAGCTTAACAGTCGGAACTAAAACGCACCAGGCCTAACGTTATAAACCGGGAACAGATTTTTTTTTAAGTAGTACCGTACTGTATGTAAGTGTCCACCAATGTTAATGGGGGGGGTGGCACATGAGGCGAGGCATATCCCGTTTTTATTCATGGAAACATTAACACGATAATGGCTTTATTCTCTGGAGTTATCTTACCTTTCGGGCATGAACGTTGTTTCGAAAATCCACGAGTGTACAATTTGTCATAAGACGTCCGTTTTTGTTTATTTTGCTAGATTGTTTTAAAAACATCAGAATGGATAATAACGTGGAAATTACTGCATTGTGCATGCTGATTATAAATATGTATAACGTACAACAATTTGCTAATCCACTGCAGGATGAATGCCTCGCGATGCTGTGTTGATCATGGGATTATTTGGCCATACTTCACCATGCTGGTCAGTGCAGCTTCGTTAGGGGTGGTTCAGGAATGATTCAGATAGCAACCCCCACTGTTGTTAACCGAATTCGTAAAAAACTACGATTATCACTCGCATTCCTCATTTAATTAATGTTACAGGGTGATCCATTTATTTATGAATACCCACGTATTTCTCATGACCCTCTTCTCAACAGGTGATTGAATGTTGTGAAAGTGATGTCGACTTTATAATTTACCAGCTTTACTACCCGGCTTCGCCCAGGACTTGGATTCACCACGCCCGACCGCCTTTGTCTCCCCAGTGGCGATGTTCACATACCACAGCAGTTACTCGTTTGAGGCTGAATCGACCTAGGGGAGGCCCAGGACCGGTTCAAATAATCGTCACCGGTTCTGGCCGTGAGCGGGAATCGAACTCGGGTCGCCGGGTTCGTAGCGCAGCGCGCTAACCGCACACACTACCGCTCCCCCCACACACACACACAGACACACACAGACACACACAGACACACACAGACAGACACAGACACACACACAGACAAACACACAGACACACACACAGACAGCACGCTAACCACTACACTACCGCTCCCCCCACACACACACGCAGACACACACACAGACACATACACACAGACAGACACACAGACAGACACACACAGACAAACACAGACAAACACAAAGATCAAAACAAAGATCCTCCATATAGCCTTAACAGACTGTAGGGGCAAGTGCTGTTAGCGAGCACCTATGAAGGCCGGAACGGTACACGAGGGGGTGGGTGGCCAGCACCACGCCCGACCGCCTTTGTCTCCCTAGTGGCAATGTTTACACACCGCACCAGGTACTCATTTGAGGCTGAGTCGACCTAGGGGAGGCCCGGGACTGGTTCAGATCGTCACTGGTGTTGGCCGTGAGCGGGAATCGAACCCGGGTCGCCAGGTTCATAGCGCAGCGCGCTAACCGCTACACTATTGCTCCCCACAGACAAACACAGACACACACACAAAGACACACACAGACACACATACAGACACACACACAGACACACACACACAGACACACAGACAGCACGCTAACCACTACACTACCGCTCCCCCCACACACACAGACACACAGACAGCACGCTAACCACTACACTACCGCTCCCCCCACACATACCCGCAGACACACACAGACAAACACAGACAGCACGCTAACCAATACACTACCGCTCCCCCCACACACACACGCAGACACATAGCACGCTAACCACTACACTACCGCTCCCCCCACAACAACCGCCATTCGCCACTAAGTGGCGGTGACGTCACCACGACGCTTGTGCCAGGTCATGTGCACCTTGAGGCCACGTGAAGTGTCGAACGCCCGCGGGCAGGAGGTCACGGGGCAGACCCAGGTACCACGAGTCGACTGACTGAGATGACTGGCTGGTGCACCACCTGTGCCCCCTACTGTGCCAACCTGCTGTGCTTTAGCCACCCGGCGCTCCGCTCGTTATTGTGAGTGTCGCTCCTCCGCCCTCCGTTGTTGTTGGAGGGCTACTGCCTCCAACTGCCCAATAGCGTCCTTAACGAGCCTCCTCCACAGAGGCCAGTCTTGACACCGCTGTTACCAGTCATCGGCAAGTCCACTCAGCTCCACGTCCTCCTGTACCACATCACTCCATCTCTTCTCTAGCCCGTGCTGCGCCCGTTTAGCCCCCTCGATCCGGCCAAACAAAAGCTGTTTCGGCATGCGGTGGCTGGGCATGCGGGCTACATGACCCAGCCAACGCAGCCTTGCCTGCCGGAGGAGCTCACCGATGGGACCTTGCCCAGATCTTTCAAGGATTTTATGAGCTCCTCACACAATCCAGGCTGGTTAAACCCAGGATGGATCGTAGGCAGGCCAGCCTAAATGTTTCCAACCGGCGAAGATGCTCCATTAAGGGGGTCCACGTTTCGCAAGCGTAGAGAAGGGAGGGAATGACTGTGGCCGAGAAGACCTAAAGCTTAGTGCGGAGCGACAGACCAGGTAGCTTCCACACAGTGTTACGCAACCGATGAAAAGATATTGCCGCTCGACTGATTCGGAGTGAGACCTCTGCTGTTAAACTGGAGCCGGTCATAAGCACACTACCCAGGTATGGGAAACTCTCCACTCTCTCCACAACTGCCCCATCACCGATTGGGAGTTGTGGGGGTGGAGTGTCCGATGGTACAAAATACCCAGGCAGGTGCTTACTTTTGGTGGTGCTGATAGTAAGGCCCCATCTCTTAGTGGCACGCTCCAGTCTCAGCAGCAGCGTCTCCATCTCCTCTGAATGAGCAGCTATTACCAAATCGGCATACATAACGTGGTTGAGCAATAGGGAGCCATCCCTTGACTGCACCCGGGCATCGATCAGCCTCCCATTATATCTGTACCAAATGGAGATTCCCCCGGTACAGCTATTGAAGGCTTCACGAACTACGTGGTCAAAATAGATGTTAAATAATGTGGGAGCCAGAGGACATCCCTGTCACACCCCAAGGTGTACAGGGAATGGCTCTGACTCCCGGCCACATAGTTGTACCCAGGCCCGCTCACCATCATGAAGGTCCTTTAATGATCGTGAGCAGAGGGTCAGAGACTCCAAGAGCACGAAGAACAACCCAGAGCCCAGGCCTACTGATGGTATCATAGGCCTTGACCAGGTCAATAAAGCAGAGATGTAGGTCTTGTTGGAATTTCCTACACCTCTGCTGTAGCAGACGGACAGAAAATATGGCATTTGTGCAGGACCGCCCTTTCCTGAAACCGCATTGGGGCTCCGCAAGCCTCTCAGCGTGCCTGGCGAGGCGATGTTGAATAATCCTTGCCAGGACCTTTCCCGGCACACTGAGGAGTGATATGCCCCTGTAGTTGTTACAGTCTGTGCGGTCCCCCTTCGTAAAGAGGGGGACCACCAGGGCATCCTTCCAATCCTGCGGAACCCGTCCAGTGGTCCAGACTGTTGTTAGGATGTCATATAGGGCTGTCTGTGCACAAACGCCACCCTCAGCACATACACGCAGACACACACAGACACAAACACACAGACAGCACGCTAACTACGACACTACCGTTCCCCCCACACACACGCGCGTACACATACACGCGCTTGTTGCAGACACAACTTTCAGGGTGCGTACGGCAGTAAACGACTCAATAAACCAATGCTGCACGAAGAACGCCTTAGACCTGCAACACATTTGTATTTCACTTGACCCGCGGAGGGTTGGGGGGGGGGGCGGTGCGTGACAGCAGGCACACTCCGTTACGCTTCCGCATACGAGTCACATGACAGATGTGACGTCACAGCTCACTTGCCATGCAAAATATATGCATTATTGCGCCCCCCCCAAAAAAAATATACAAAAGTCTATTTTTATAATTATTGCACGGTGTACAGTCTGGAAAGTACCCACATGGCAAATTTCAAGTTTGTTGCATGTCAAGAAGTATGCTAAACATTTTGAACAGACACATTCACAAATTTCCCTTTTATATATATAGATGGAGACATCACTTGAACAATTGTTAAATCAATTAGTGGGGTAGCTAGCTCTACATCGCCCTGTGTCTTGTGTTTTCCCAGCTGCACCGCCGAGAGCCATCATCACATGGATGAAGTTACGAAGTGGCGATGAGGACTACATGGAACCTCTGCGTGCTGCTGGTGATGACCTGCTTTCAGCCCACCTTTTGGGATTGGAGACAAGAGGATCTGGAAGGGAAGATGGATGAGCGAGCCAGGCAGATGGAGTTGCAAATGGAAATTTTTGAACATGAATTTGCATCCAAATCGTATTCTGTGGATGCCACTGGAAAAGTGGAGAAAAAAATGACGGATATCTATGTTAATATACTTGGCCTTGACAGTAGTTTGTTGAACAGAATACTTCTACTGATATTTTTTATTATCTATTTGTTCTTTCCAGAAGCTTACAGTGTCCCTCATGATGATGTGCCTTCTTTCGAATCAGATTTAGTGTTGAAATTAAACGAGGATAATGAAGTTACTCAAATATCAAACCTGCCCAACAGTGACACTTTGCAAACATTTTATGATGATCAAGTACAGTCTAAATTGGATGAAATTACAAACAATCGAGAGTTTGTGGAGAATTTCCTTGATGACTTGGTAGATGAAATGTCTTTAAAGCAGTGCATTAATACAGACTTGCTTATTGGAACATGTGTATCTCTGGCAAATTCTGGAGATTTTCAGAGCCCTCATACTTTCAGGTTTCTTATCCCGCTGTCTCCGCCGGAACCATATAAATTTCAGATAGATGTGGAAAATGAAAACAAGTCCTTCACACATGTCGGTGTAAAGATTGAATCAAATGACTGTTCTAATTCGGCACAACAAAAATGTGCTTGCTGTTGCCATGATTGCGACGATGATGACGACACATTGTGCCTTTTAAGCACACACAACAGTCCATTTATGGACAAGGGTGCTAATGGATGTAGCTTAACAGCAGATGAGTCCCTTTACAATACGAGAACAAATCGACTGATTGCAGGAAAGGCACTACTTTGGTTCGCATCCTTAATAACACAAGGTTGGAAAAACATTGCACGTAAATACGATTTTGATTTGTCACTGCGAGATATTCATTCTCCCTGCGCACTGAAAATGAGCTTCAAATCTGGAAGAAAGGTGTTTTTTGATGCTATTCCAGCGATAAGGTACAATGACTCTGAAATATACCTGGTGCCAAGCATTTATTCGGAGATTGCAATTGACTTCCCACAACTCCACTGGAGTCCTACTTTCTTGAAGTGTGAAGAAGTCTACATGAAATATCTCATCAAAAGGTTGCCTACAGATTTAGGTCACTTGCAGAGTCTGAACATGTTGTCTTACCTAATTGAGCAGCAGAGGCTGAACACCGCGCATCGTTCATTCCAGCAGGAGGCAGGGCTGAAATTATTCCACCTGCGCACGGCTCTGCTCCACATATTAGCGGACAATAGCTTGACACCTGAAAACTCTGGAATGGAGCATCTGCGAGAACATTTAAGCAACCTGCTGTGTCTACTGAAAAGGTGTCTTGAAATTAGGCACCTGAGCCATGCAATTGTTGGAAGTGCAGAGGCGAGCAAGTGCTTGCGTATTCCGGAGGTATACTGTGATGGCCCATCTCCGAATGTATTTGGTAGACTCCTCATAGGGGATCATGTTTTCCAACAAACGCGCACCTTATTTCAAGAGCTGATGAACAAATTGTCACTGATTGTTCCTGAAGAATGTGATTGAAGCTACTTGGTGATAAAACCGTATTACATTAAGTTACGATTTTTCAGTAATGTATCTTTTAAGTTCTAACACTTGAGTACAGTATTACATTTTAATGGACCAGAGTACATTATTTTCCACTGAAAGAAGTAAAAAAAAATCAATTAAGTTAAGAAACAAATTTGATGTTTTTAATTCTTACATTCCATTATTGCCGATTGGTAATTGGCAAATGGGCCAGCAAGCATTGAATTGTTGGTCTGGAAACTGCACAATTAAGAGAGACAAGATCTTGTAACATCATTTACAGGAACAAAAACGTTGCGTATAGATACATTGTACAACGTAATCGTATCTTATTAACTGCTTTGCCAGGTCTGCCAGAAATTATCAAAGGACTTCAGTAGTTGCATAACTTTAAAGAAAACTACCATATACAGTCATTAATAAAAAAAAGTTATGTTTCGTTGATGGTACTTTTAGAAAACTTAACTTGATAACGAAAAGGAACATAGCAATGTGCCTAAAGAATATCATTGTATGTTACCTGCTATGACATGGATAATCAAAAACATGGGCTTTGCCAATTGAACAAAGGTTAAAAGATACACAAAGATGCATGGGCGACTGCGTGCTTGACATTTATTGCACTGAAAAATAGAGTAATACGCGGATTGGAGAAAATATGCGAATTAGAGACCTTGTATTTAATATGGCTTTGTCAGGAACATTCAAGATAGGATGGCTGGTGGTGAAGATTAAACAGTGGCAGCCAAAGGACACTGCTGGTGTGCAATATATAGTTGCATTGTGACACCGTGGGGGATGAATGATTGGGCAGGCCTTCATCCAGCAGTGGATATATTAAGGGCTGATGAATGGTACTTTTGCAGCAGATGATACTATACGTGTGTGGTTAAGAACATACTTATAATACAATTATGTACATCACTGAAATGGTAAACGTGTACTTTACTGGATTTCCACTTAACGTGTTGCACAAGTGACTACTAGTTTTATGTTTTTTTTGCATTGTGCTCGTGAGTAAAACAATGTAATGCAGATCAAAATATAGTAGCACCTAATGCAAACAATAGTATTTATCAGATCATGCGTATTGGCTCTGAGGAAAGCTTGATGCAGTGCCAAGTATTGTATGTCTGCAATTATGTACAACTATTGAATGAGATAAGGTGAACGCTATCAGTTTTATTACATTTCTGATGGTTATATGTGGTATTTTAAAATCACAATTTTAACGCTGCTCCATGAATATTGCTACAATGTAATGTAACGCTTTACAATTACCTTTTGTAACGTATGTTTACCCATATTTTACATAAAAGTTTGTGCTGATAAATAACCTTTTTATAATACGGTTTTACTATTTCTGTGAATATTTCATAAAAAAAAATCAAATGTCAAATTTAAATGATCTTTCCTGGGGTTTTTTACCGTATTTTTTTAACTATGGATTGCTTTCAGTCTGGATTAGTTTAGTCAATTAAGTTGGCTTTGAAATGTTGCTTGGTACAATAAATTATACGCAACATACTGGGAAATCCTAACCTAAAAGTACAATACAGTACTGATATATTAAATAATTGTCTTGTGGTCTTGTAACACTGGTACTTGCAGTAGCTTTTGAAGTTGTGTTTAAAATTGCTGTTATTTTACAAAGGTACAACAAATGCTTATGTTATGCATATTGAAATCAAGGGTTTTGCACTGTTTTTATGCCCCAATAAAATAAAAACTACTCAACATTTATTTGTATTGAAGTTTGTAATAAAATGCCATTTCATAAATGCATATACTGTTTAAAGCATGGAAGAGTGAATTCAGAACATTGCATTCCCATTACAACATTCGTTAAAAGCATTGGCTTAAAATAAATATATAATTGGTTACCCTTTTGGTCAATAGCCCTTCATAAGACCATGTGATATGATACCACGTCAATAAAAATAGTACCACGAGCTATGAAAACCATTGCCTGAAACGTCGCTATATGTTTTTACTTTTAAGGCAGTGTTTTGGTCAGTTGCGATTGTGCACCACTGACATGTTGCATGACTAAAAATATACAATATTGATTTGAAGCTTTCGTGACTGCAGGAATCCATACTCTTTAGTTCTTTCGGTAAAGTCACGTAGGTAAAAAAAAATAGATCACGACGTTTTGATAGCAATGTACATTTCCTCTTGCCTAAGCAGTCCGCCTGCTGTATTGTTTCACCTGAGGACGATGGCATGTGTTACTATCGAAACGTCTTGATCTAGTTTTCTACCTCCGTGACTTTAACGAAAGACCCAAAGAGTAATATACAATATGCCCGTTAGATGGCGCTATGTTATTGCATTGTCTAAATTACTCCCAGCCCGCGCATTGAGGTCAAGCGCAAACTCAAGTGTCCTCGTTCATCTGAGGCTCTGTGGAGACCAACATGGGACAATGGTAACATCCCTATCGCGCACTTAATTTCCAACCGCACAGAAGAACCTCGTGGTTTCAATGCATTCCACAAAGAACGGTTTGCATTGCATGAAATCACATGACCCGAAGGATCCCGTCGTCTCTGATGTATTTACGTTCGCTTGTACTTTTTTTTTCAATGCGCCGGAATGTTTATAAATGTAACTTCGCCTGTAATCGTGTTTAAAACCAACTTTGCTTGATGTAACATCTGATGTTAACTAAGGGATACCGAATTTAGAGTGTTTTAGCTCAATGGGAAACAACTGCAGTCATAAGCTCAACTAACTACAATACAGTATTCATGAAAACCTAAGAATAGGCCACAGTGCTTGTGGTCATCAATCTGAAACAATGGACCACGATTTCAGATATTCCAAGAACGGCCATTTACCGAAAGGTCGCCGATCACAGTCGTGTATATTAATTGTTTTCTGCAGTAATTGGTGAGAACGCAGCGTAAATCAAGATGCGGCTGGTTGTCTGGATTTAAACCCTGGATTTCAAAGGTGACAAGCTCAGCGTCGTGATCTTTTATCCACCGATGTAGCAATTCATTTTGCAACCTGCGCATGAGCTGATTTCAATAACCCAACTCTAGGATCACACCCTTGGCTACCATTCGGTCGTCAGTTTTGACCAACGGCCATGTGAGTTTTCATTCTTGTCACCAATTTCATTCCACCTCAGGATCAGAATATGTATACTCTACTGGAGAAATCCGATGAGCAGTACAGCTATTTTTCATAGATGCCCAGGAGGGGCGGGTCTGAACGTGACAACAAGCAATACCAAAACACGATAGGAGTGGAAAGTATAGGAAAGGTAAACAAGCCCTTTGATTTGTGTAGTTGCAGTTGCATGTCTTTTCTCCTACATTAACATTAGCTGCCCCGCCCATGCTGCTGACACACTTGGGCTACGCCCATCTCTAAACCTTTATAAACAGTTTGCCTTTAGAGGCTAACCCCCCTTTTCCTGATGACGACCGCTTGTGTTGCGATCGAAACGTCGTGGATTTTGTTTATTTTTCTTTATAACTGAAAGAACCAGAATAAGTCTACATTATAGACTGCCAGTACGATCACTCAGGTTCAGTTTAATAACCACTGCTACAGTCTACATTATAGACTACTAATACACTCACCAGCTTAAAAACCAGGCTACAGTCTACCAAGCTACAGTCTACATTATAGACTGCCAGTTCGCTCACTTTTATTATTTCTATCTACGTGACCTTTACTTCCCCGTAGAAGTTACCGTTGTAATTATGTGTAAGATGTGCCCTTTTTTGAGCTGCCGTTTTGTATTTACAAGAGGTGGTCCTTTTTTGAGCTGCCGTTTTGTATGTGTAAGATGTGCGTGTTTGAGCTGCCGCTCTCGCTCTGGCCCCTCCTCCCCTCCAACCGTATTTCCTATTTAAGCTTCTGTTCATCCCTCCGGCACCCCCCCCCCTCTCTCTCTGCCTCCCTGTCCGTCTTTCCTCCCTCCTTACCTCTTGGTGTACTTGTATATGTAATTCTACTGACCGTGTACCTCGTATTTTTCATTCTATCTATGCTGGTATGTGCAATCCAAAGGTTGAACACGAAATTTAACACTCTTGTGAAATTCGTGGTCCGCCAGGAAGTGTCTAACTGTGTTGTTGGCCTGACTGGATGTGCTTCACATAATGTTTTTTTCAGGTTTGTTGAATTCTCGTCTCTCATCTTTTTGTTGTATTTACCTCCGTGATTTGTTCTTGACACCTGATGAAGATCGCTTGCGTTGTGATCGAAACGTCGTGATTGTTTTTTGTTATAATATAATTTATTGTATTTCTACATACGTGACTTTAACGAACAAACCAATGAGTAACCATTGCTACAGTCTACATTATAGACTGCCAGTACACTCACCAACTTAATAACCATTGCGACAGTCTACATTATAGACTGCCAGTACACTCACCAAACTTAATAACCATTGTGACAGTCTACATTATAGACTGCCAGTACACTCACCAAACTTAATAACCATTGTGACAGTCTACATTATAGACTGCCAGTACACTCACCAAACTTAATAACCATTACAACAGTCTACATTATAGACTGCCAGTACACTCACCAAACTTAATAACCATTGTGACAGTCTACATTATAGACTGCCAGTACACTCACCAAACTTAATAACCAGGCTACAGTCTAAATTATAGAGTGCCAGTACACTCACTCCGAGTTTTTTTATTTTAATGCAATTTGTATTAACTTTTTTTAATTCTTATTTTTCTATCTGCGTGACTTTACCGAAAGAACCAAAGAATACAACCTCCTTGCCGTGAGAATTTTATCGTTTTATTTGTATTATTTTATTATTTCCCTTTTACGTGACTTTACCGAAAGAACCAGGATTATATAAAAAAAAACCTCCTTGTCTTTTTTCTTCTTTGGTTCTTTCGGTAAAATCACGTAGAATGAGAATAAGATAATAAATTAATAAAATCAAATAACACAACAACATTCTCCCGGTCTTTCTCTCCATGGCCAAAATAAACAAAAACACAATCCCAAATCGATGACGCTCACAAGTCGCCGTTATGACGTCACCTCCGCGAGAGCGCGTTTGGTGAAACCTCGACCGCTCATTGGCCCGCGGGACCGACGTACGCCCACGCCCCCTCCTCCCGCCCGCCAATCGGCTTCCCTCTTATTAAGAATCGGCCGCCGAAACGCTCGCGAAAGAGAGGCCGCAGCGATGGGGCTGGAGAGCACCATGGTGTGGTGAGTCCGCCGTGATCTCCTCGCAGTCTCTGCACCGCACGATGTTTCACTCCCCCCCCCACCACCACCTCTTCCTTCTTCCTCACACTCGAGCGGCTTCTCCCCAACCCGTCCGTCGGGCTGGTTCGCTCAGGGTTTAGTGTGAAGTGTGAATAAGTCGACTAGGCCGAGGGTTTGAGGTTAGGCCTCTCTCAAAAGTGCATTGTAATGGGGGGTGGGCGCCCGGCACTGTTATTGTCATCCCTCCTTTGTTTTAATTCGTTTATTTGTTTGTGTGCGTGCGTGCGTTTGTCCGTCCGTGTTATAATGACGACTGCTTTTCAACAACAAAAATTCGCGTGCGCATATCCGTACGTCGACTTGCTTACGAGCGTTATTTTGCGCGGTGCGGTGGCAACACCGTTCACCCTGAACCCCGAACCATTGCGAGTTTTGACTCCCAAATCGCGACTCCGGCGCTGATCCTCTGGCGAGTGCTGTGCGAACCGGCCCTTCGTCAAACCACGCGAATCCGCGTGGCGACGTGGGCTCAAACTGACCCACAGTACACTGCATGGGGGGTGTGGGTGGCGAGGCCTTCATCCAACAGGGGATTGACAAGGACTGTAAATATGCACACGGTTGTATTTAATAATAATCTGAGGACCCATAGAAGTCATCCGTCACGCGATAATTCTACAGGACGGTACTTTAAAGGCGTTTTGAGATGCAACCGTGCACCCCAATTAGCGTTACTTATGTTGATTGACTTGCATCCTTTATTTACTAGGGAAGGGCCACGTTAGAATATTCAATAGATGTATTACTTCCCCGTATTCAATCAATGTGAGGGCCCACTGAGAGAGGTTATGTTGTTTTGTATCAATTATTTAACCTGGCGAGGGCTCATTGAAGTACATTTTAAAGATCCTATTATATTTTTTGTCAATTCACGGCCTCATCACGCCATGTTTATAATGGGTGTTGTTGTTGTTTGACTTTCCTTCACGCTGGTCATTGGGGTTGGTGAAGGGTTGAAGTCAATTCATATGCAATACAATATTTTCTGGAATGAGCAGGTGAAATTACATTTTATTTTGATATACTGATTGCCCTCGTATTTAAGCTACCGATGGGCCATTGAGATGTGGACCCGTTGGTAATATTAAGTACCTAATTGGATTGCATTCTTCATCCATATTTACTGGACATCTGTAAAATATAATTTAATAGCTCATCGGATTCCTCCAGTATAAATACAGATTCCGATTCAATAAAGTGGGTCAAGTTCCATTACTACTCTTGACTGACATCTGAGGCATTATTGAGATGCAATACCTGCACTCTATAGTAATTAATTGGCAATATAGTAAATCTGTTGATTCCTTAGACTAGGTAAAGACCCATTGAAATTAATTCTCTGTCTCGATTGACTGACATTTAACCAGGTGAATACTAATTTAGAGCCAGGAATGATATTATTTTAGACTGTTCTACTTCCTTTGACCAGATGAGGGCCCAATGCGACTATCTGTTGGTTGGCTGCAGATTGTATTACACGACGTGAGAGCCCATTGAAATTAATCTTGATATTCTATGCTGAAATGAGCAGTGAGGGTGCATTTGTCACCACTGATGGTCGTGAGCCACTGGTGGGAATTGCCTATTCCCCCGGAAGGTTCGGTGTAACTGGAAGACCTCCACTGTTGACATTCCTCATTGGTAGTTATTTTACGTCTCCCAAGGGAAATGTCAAGTCGACTGCTAGCGAAAATTTAAATTCACTATTTTTTTCATTGTAATTTGAAGATTCTGATATAACGCCACATGACTGGACTACATCTTCAAATTGGTGCACCCTTTATTTTCTGATATAACGCCACATGACTGGACTACATCTTCAAATTGGTGCACCCTTTATTTAACCATGAGAGTGCTCGTAATTGTACAACTTTTTTCATTGGTTGCATTGGATTTCTAGATGATGATGCATTGTGTATGAGAATAAACACTTTCATAATAACATTACATGTACTGTGGTTGCAATGCTCTTGTATAAATTCTATGCAATATTATGCTTGATAAATCTTTCCTTTTTGTATTTTCCACTGCCCAATTTCAACAGTGTTCACTTATTATGTAATGCTATTTAGCGACAGGATGCTTTTCGAATGTTTAAATCCCAGCTTCGTGTGCATAGGGGCCATCCATTTAGTACGTACGCATGGAGGGGGGAGGGGGGTTTAACCCATATTCGTACGCTTGCGTATGGGGGGTCTACTGACAATGTACGTACGCATAGGAAACGGGGGGGGGGGGTGTGGTGAAGCCTCGATAATAATTTGTCTACATTGGCCTTTAAAGGAGTTAGATAGTCCGGCGGTGGACTATCTGTTGGCTTAAACACGTTAATATTATACAGGCAAGAACAACAGGTTTCACACTGCCCACCATGGATTATTTGTCTGTCTGTCGTGCATATCCGGAATTCCATCCGCATAATTGGAGTTTCGTTACTAATTTCCAACACGGATCGTACGAATGCGCTGTCCAACCAAGTTCCTACCTGTCCACTCCGAAGGAACGTGTTTAATCCTTGATCGTTTCTGGGTGGATTAAATATCGGCCGTTCTATTGGATTCGCGGGGGGGGGGGTCCGTCAGGCGAACGTACGCAGGTGGGGGGGGGTAAAAAGTCCGCGTGCGTACAGGGAGGGGGGGAGGGGTCAAGTTTTGACAGATTTTTGCGTACCTAATAAATGAATGGCCCCATTCCGGATATCAAATTGTAATGAAATCCAAAACCACATTGCTTCCCAACAAGGATCATTTATAATCTCGGAATTACGTTGGTGCATTTTAGGTTCCAATCAGTCCATTATTGAGCAAATACAAATTCATTGTTTGTCCTATTTAATTTGCAAGTATAAGCGCAATACAGTCGGTATTCCCTCATTATTCACGAACTTGCTATCCGTGGTTTTGCCTATCCACGAATCGCATCTGGAACTCTACACGACTCCATCGAGAGAGAGAAAAATAAAGTTATTAGAGAACGTGATGTTAGAAATTGATGAGAATTAGTAATAAGATGTAGTTATGAGATAAAGTTATACAATGAAGAGATGAGAGAACTTATCTAAGCTTTAGAAGCATCTGCAGACGTTGCGTGTACGATATTCGTAGGCCAATATTATCCGCGACATATGGTATTTATGAACCTCTCCGGAACATATCCCTCGCGAATAATGAGGGAATACTGCATGCAAGAATATTACATTTACAGAAGTAGCATGTACCTGATGTGCATTGCGTATCATTTCACTACTGCACTTGCTCTTATGCCCATCATTATTGATTACTCCAGGTGTTGTCTAACTTATGGTCAACATAAACTTGCCTGATCTCACTGTCACATGTTCTCAAAAATGACATTTCTTGTTTTCCACACTTTCCCTTTTTTTTACATTTAATTGAGCAGCGTCGACAACAGCGAATACATGCGGAATGGGGACTTCGTGCCAACCCGCCTGCAAGCACAGCAGGATGCCGTGAACATCGTGTGCCACTCTAAAACCCGCAGCAACCCGGAAAATAATGTTGGGCTTATCACACTAGCCAAGTAAGCAAACAGGGAGGTGCACTCAAATGATACAAGAAACTAGCTTTACTCTTTTATTGTGAATGAGCGTCAATATATGGCAAAGCTGGAGAGATTGCAGTACATCGTTAGATGATAAATTATCGGCACCATTAATAAATCAGAACAAAGTGATAGCTGTGTTGCTATTTTTTAAAGCCCCCAGGAATAAAAATGGATATTTATTCTAAGTTTCTGACGGTATAAAAAACTAAATTGTCAAAATATTTGAATGTTTTTGCTTTTACTGTAATTTGCGAATATATATTCATATCAACTATATTTGCTCACTTTTTGGCAGCAACTGTGAGGTGCTGACAACATTGACATCAGACACGGGAAAAATTCTATCCAAACTTCATTCTGTGCAGCCCAAGGGAGACATTAACTTCTGCACAGGGATTCGTGTGGCTCACGTGAGTGTGCAAAGGTTATTTTGATGGGAGCACTGCCATTACTTGTGTACAAAGATTCTTAAATATCATGAAAACACTGCTATGCTCTAATTTAAGTTAAATATTGGTTTAACAAAGTGTATTTTTTTTGTAAATTATACTACATTCAAATGTATGGATTCATATCGTATGAGTTTGTTTAATTATACACGTTTTCATTATTACTACACAGCTGGCATTGAAACATCGCCAGGGAAAAAACCACAAGATGAGGATTGTAGTTTTTATTGGAAGTCCCATCCTCAATGATGAAAAGGAGGTAAGTGGGTCACATAGCATATGTTTTTTTATGCCTTCTCATCACATTCATTATAAATGGGGGTTATGGCTTCATTTAAAAATGTGGGAAAAACTTTTACCCATTAGCTATAAAACATCTGTGTGGTTATTAATGTGACAATTGCTGCAGACTCTGCTGCTTAAAATAATATATTTCACATGCCATGGCACCGAATTGGTCAGGTGGGACAGCAGCAGCGCAATAATTTATGTTAATGGTTCATTGCCTTCTGTCTGTTCTGCACCACTGCTTCCTCGTTTGACCGTTGCCTTTTTTCCAGCTCCTGAAGCTAGCAAAGCGTCTAAAAAAGGAAAAAGTTAATGTAGATATCATTAACTTTGGCGAAGAGGTACGTTAAAAGCTTTTTTTTATTTTACCAATGTTAAAATGTACATCCATTGTTTTGCAGTTGTTTCTGGTGGCATGAGAAGGCCCTGTCGTTTATTTTAAACTCACGCGGATGTGTTTGAAAGCAGGGAAGCAACACTGAGAAGCTGACAGCATTTGTGAACACGCTGAATGGGAAGGAAGGAACAGGCTCCCATCTCGTGACTGTTCCACCAGGTTCTAGCCTGGCTGATGCTCTGCTTAGCTCACCCATTTTGGCTGGAGAGGGTGGAGTTGGGTTTGGTCTAGAAGCCAGCGACTTTGAATTTGGGGTAGACCCAAATGCCGACCCGGAACTGGCCCTGGTAAAAAACAACTTTTCTCTTTTTACGTCTTACATTAGACATGCAAGTTAATGTATTCTACGTATTATTTTGGTATACTCCCTCATAACTGGCAAACAGAATTGTTAACCAGTGTAATCATCATCTAGGCCCTGCGTGTATCCATGGAAGAACAGCGGCAGCGCCAAGAGGAAGAGGCACGCAGAGCAGCAGCTGCCTCTGCTGCTGAGGCCGGAGTGAAACCAGCTGCTGGTGAAGGTGAAACTAAAAAAAAAAATGACAAATATACAAATGCATTTAATAATTCTCATTATTTATATATATTTTTTAATAATTATAATATGAAAGCTTTTAGGTATAAATGTGACATCACATATGAATTTCTGCTTGTGTGTGTTTTGTGCGCAGACTCTGACCAGGCTTTGCTGGAGCAGGCCCTAGCAATGTCCATGCAGCAGCCAGAAACGGTCAGCCCAGGAATTCCAGATTTTAGCAGCATGTCCGAGGAAGAACAAATTGCTTATGCCATGCAGATGTCTCTTCAGGCATCAGGTACCATACACATTTTGACCAATGCAAGCAACTGCTAAGAATACTTGCCATATAAGCCGACTCTTGAGCAATTCCGTGCATTTGGCATCACCAATGCATTTCAATTACGATTATGACCACCTTATGTTGGTATAATTCTCCATCCTGGCTGTAATTTATGCTTCCCTAAGCGATATTCAAAATAAAATCCCATTCTATTGGAAATCGCTCTTAGTGTTCACATTTCCTGCATAAATTATTCAGTGTGGAATCATAGGAATTAAATAAGATTCCAAAAACATCCAGTTTTACTTGGTAATAAAGAACGTGCTAGTTTATGCATATAAAGTATTGCACTTTTATCTAAGGCAGTGTAAGTGCCTTGTATGGTTCAGTGAAATTTGAAATTCGACATGAATGCATACTTGGTGAGTTATGTTGTAATGGAATGTAATCTCATTGCACCGGCAAATGTCTGAGCCATTTGAGCTTGGTAACAAAACAAATAAAAATGATCATTTTTAAAACACGTTTTATCATTCGATTTATCTGCAATTTGTAGTGCAAAATGTACGTTTCAAGGCGAGTATTACAAATTAATAATTACAGCAATATTTCGCTCGCAAATTGTGCCATTTCATTTGGTTTCTCAAAGGACTTCAAAATGGCTTTCACATGCAGCTTAATGCGTTTTGGTTATAAGCCATTCAATACCTACAAAATGGCCAGCTGAACCAACTGGCATTAATTCTCCCACGAGTGCAGTCGGTTTTGTTGACTATGGCAGCATTTATAGTTGGGTGTACTTAAAATAATAAATGCACTCTGACACTTAATCACCTTTTTAACACCATTTAGGAAAAATGTTCACAATGGAGTAAGCCCATTGTTCGTTCACAAATAGACTTGTTGATTGCTGTAATGTGGTATTCGTAAGTGGTTTCCAACATTACAGGCTGACTTCATTTTGTTATGTTATTGCTTTTCCATAATAGGCTGTGCATTACATTTTATCTTCCAATATGCTCTCTTCTAGTTTCCTAAGGTGATACATTGTTGGTTGTCCTTAATGGTTTCATATTGAGGATTTTGGTAGCAAAACTGCATGTCACTGCAATTTCTTTTTTCTCCCTCTGTAGAATTTGGTCGAGAAGGAGCAAGTGAAGCAGAGAGCTCTGCCATGGATACTTCTGAACCACCTGCGAAGGTGAAGATTGTTTTATAAAGGGTTATTTATAAACAATATTATTATGATAACGCGTTCTTAATTTTAAAGGGGACTGCATAAACGTTTGAATTGTAAAACAAATTAAAGTGCCACTTCATTTAGTATGATACATTTTAATACATTGTTTCTCTTTTATAAATCTTTTACGCATGTCATATGGATATTTTAATAAAATTACTTATGCTTTTGGCTCATCTTGCACAATATGTATACGCCTTGCACAATATGTATACGCCAGGCTGCAGCTGGCATAATCACCGTTGCAAGCATGTCTACGAGCATAGGGAAGACATTCTCTCCTTAAAAAATAAACCACATAGGGAAGTTTATTTTGTCAGTTTCAGGAGTGTTTAAACAGAAGGTCTTTTTTGCTTCGGCAAGGAAATGTTGACAGTTTGACCCATAGAAACGGTCATGTTGATTTGAAATAATAATCATGAATGCATTTCTCCTGTTGCAGGCGGATGAAGAGGATGATTATGATGTGATGCAAGACCCAGAGTTCCTGCAGAGTGTGCTGGAGAACTTGCCAGGAGTAGACCCTTCCAATGAGGCTATTCGCAATGCTATGGGCTCGCTTGCCTCTCAGTCAGGCACTCAGGCCAAAGACACCAAGAAAGACAAGGACAAAAAAGACGAGAGCAAAAAATAAAGCAGATTGCAAAATGCATTTCCACACCTTGCAATGCCCTGAACGTGAAAGGTTAAAATGTGCTATGTGTAAAGCTTATCTGTGCAAAATAAAGATCTTTAATATTGCACGTTTATCTTAGTGGTTGTCCTACTACTTAAGCGTTTACAATAAACATTGTAAAGGCTTAAAGGTGCTTGAGTGTTTTATACTTAAAATAGCATTGCTCCGAGGTTCCTGTTGGCAGATTTATAAAGTATCTAAATGTAGGAAGTTTTGTTCATTGAAACTGTCTTAAAAAATGTCTAACTTTACAATTGTTATGCTTTAAAATGTATGTTATCTTGGAGTCAAATACTTTACATTTGACTGGAGATTACTGAATAACAAGTAATTAAGCAGCCATAGTTATAGCAGTTGTCTTCAAAAAACCTGGACTTGGAAGTCAACTGCTAAATGTTCATTGCCATTTATTTCATAATTATTTTTCTTGTTTGGCTGCTACAATAAAATAGTGTACTTTTATTAATTTAACCATTTTAAGTATTTTGTAAGGAAACTTTCACTATCACATCACATTACACATAGGGATAATGATTTTGATTGAGATTTTACATTTTTATAAGTGTTTAGTGCATTATAAAAATGTGATTAAATATTTGAACCATGCAAAAGTGTGCAAATTCTTCCCAGGATTTGTATAAACAGCCCTCCTGCTTAGACGTGAATCAAAATAACTTAAGTAAAAGGCATACACAGTTAGGTCATGTGGAAGTTTGTCAAGAGTTTCACCACATGCAGCGTCATTATTCGTGTGGTGTTTCTGCCAGCAATACTTAGAAATTGTACAGTTCTACATTTTGTAACAATACAACCAAAACCGAGTCCATTATAGATTTTATTTGCTTACACAGAATATGTACAAAGGAGTGAAAAACTTAATCCGTTCTGTACAATCACTTTTTTACAAAAAAAGTCCCCAAACTAAACATGTAGAGTAATGGTCAACTTTCTTTGGTTTGCACCAATTACAAAATGTACATTTGTATAAAGTACGAGTGCCCACCCACGCCTTATGGGGTATGAAGAACCATCTTAATCCCTTATCCAGACTGGAAAGCATACACAAAATCCCCACAATGTCACTCGGCTCGTGAAATGTTAGCATTAGCTTGTCGCGATCTGCAAAGAAAATGTATTTTACATGCTTAATCGCACAATGGGTTGCAAGCTTTGGTATAGCCTTCAAAATATGCCTTGAAAATGTTAACACCGCCGACGCTAATGCTCTTATGCCTTGAAGCCCAATTTTGCAAAAGTTAAGTCATGCACCACTGTTCACCCTCTTGCCCCCAAGACCCTTTCAATGCCACAAAATCCCAACTTCAAGCGCTACAACGCCCACACTCCCGATACATTACCAGGAATTTTGGTTGGGCACCTCTGGTATAAAGTGAAATGCAAGAGTGCACAAAAAGGGCATTTCGAGCGTATGTGCTGTAATGCAGACTTGCAGCATTATCAACGAGACTAAACACGATTCCACATGGTGTGCTGGGTAAATGCTCACGCCGGTTTTCGGTTTCCCGGTTATGTACGCACAGAACATGTGCATGATGTTTAAGCTTTTCATTTTCATAATATTAACAACCCTTTAAACATGTTTTAAATAGTATGTTTTCACGATAGTTAACATTCATAAAACTTATAAAAAACACATTGTGGAAATATAACAAAGTGCTGGATGCATTATTTACGAATAAATTTAAATAAAACACTGCTAAGAACTACAGATTTTGATTGATCAATTACATTATTTGGCTGTAAGACATCTTTAATACATTGATGCACTGATAAATAACCACTTACATTCATGTATGATGCTGGAAAAACTTACATTTACAAGATGTTAATACTGTAACCTGGACATGTGACAACTAAAAGCATCCTGCTTTATATATTTGGGGGAGCAATATTTTGTGACTAGCTTTAGTAATTTAAGACAAACGATAATACACAGCTGGTAAAAAAAATAAAACTCAAGTAATGGAAACAAGGCTGAACGGATTAATGTTTTAGCATTCAGCTTTCCACGCAACGTGATGGCCATTAAAAGCGTTTAAATATTCTTTACAAAGTGTAAGAAAATGTGCTCTTTAAATTCTCCACTTACTCGCACAGATGAAAGGCATACGAGAGCCATATCAATGTATACAGTGCTTTCACAAATACAACCTCAGCTCAACTGATATCAACACATTATCTAGCAGCCTATCCATGCCTGGAAGGAAAGATCTTAATATATAAATTAAGTTAAAAGTCCTAGAAACATACTGCAAACACTGCCAATTGAGACGGCATCGGGCCTCGGTGGCTTTTTAAATAGATTAGTCACATGGTGACAAGTATTTAAAAAAGTAAGTAAATTACCATTTTAATCAAATAATTCTGAATTTGTGATTGCCGCATTTAAATGTGAGTTATTGTTAAGTACACGTATCCAAACTATTTACATGTGAATTGTTAGCTTTTTCTGTTGGAATATCTACGAACATTTTACTAGATGAAAAAAATAGCTTTTTGCGTTTAAAGTTCTATAAACTTTATAAACATGTACCTTTACATCCATTAAGTAGTGCATGCACTATAAACGTGTACAATAACGTGTATTGTCTCCATCTTCGACCTCAAAAGACATCAATGTTTTTGGACATCAAATCGAAGTTCAGTTTTTGTTATAAACAGGATTCCATCTCTTCAGTCCCATTTGTTTTGTTGGAGAGGCTGAATCTTCTGTTGTGGCCATTTTGCCGTACACCAGCGTTCCTCAATGTAGAATATCTGAAAGGCAATCGCACAAATTACGTTGATATTATAACCGAGATTCTGACGAAGCAAAGAGTACTCAAAACGAGTTAGGACGTGGCCCGCGATTTTATCGAATGAGCATTGTCTGCTTCAGCCGATCTTGATTGTGGGGAAAGTTTGCGATGGTGGGTCCATATGGAGAGAAATCAGATTTTTGCAGGAGCCGTACGGATTATCGCAACACCATATGCGCGAGATGACAACAGTTTGGGGAGACCTGCATTCAACAGTCGATAGATAATGGCAGACGATGCGATTCATTTTGCTGAAATCACAATGCCACGCTTTTTAAATATAAAATGGTCGCTGTGCCCCAAAGTTCTTGTCAACTTGCATTCGTATTCCCAACCATGCACTCTCCTCGTGTATTTAAGATAGTGGATGCTATGGAAAATCCAGTTATGAGAAAATAAACAAATTACACTTTTATTGAAGTAATGTGATCTTAGAAATGCAGACACCAATATTTATTGGCATACAAATACCACGAGATTTGTAGAGTGTGACTTTCAATATCTGTTGCATGTCAGTTTCACTATGACGAACAAAGCACCCGAAATAATGCCTTTATCTTTTTAGCATTCAAAAAATATATTGTAAAATGCAGACGTAACATAAAAAAACACATTTAACTCAATTATACTCCTGTAGATGATTGCCATTTTCTGTATGGAAACAGAATATACGTTCATCAATATCTTGCTCAAAAACGAAAAGCTTTATAATTGTTTTCATGTGCGACACTTATTTTCATGCCGTATGGCGTGTTTCCTTCAAAGGGTAGATGTGGATTAATATAATGAAAAAAAACACCCATGTGGTTGTTTGCATGGAAATACTCAATTACGATTATGTGATCGCCTTTATTATGCCTCATCTGTTCACAAGGTTTTAAATCTCATGATGTATGCAGAGCATACAAATGTCTACCTAAAAACACTGCACACAATATGACTGACATGCATAGCCAGTAGAAAGGTTACTTTCATGTACAAACGTTGATATAAAAGGTATTAAAATACCTGCAATTAAAACCGATAAAAATAATGAATGACCATACGTGAACAAATTTCAGTTGTATTATTAACGTTAGATTTGCATTTCAAGGCAGCACAATAACCTTGTGGGCTATTTGTGATATTAAACTGTATTCAAATAGCAGAATTGAGACTAAATGGAGCATGTCATGTTAGAAATAACCATACTTAAGTACTCTTGGTTCTTTTGGTAAAGTCACGTTGAAGGGAAACAATAAAATAATAATATATATAAAACAATAAAATTCTCACGACGTTTCGACACAATTAAGCGAAATATACCAACCCCAGACTTGAGGTACATTTTGTTTCTGAACTTTACACTGCTGGCCCACGCAATGCTTATGTAAATGTTTTACATCATAGCAATTAAAGTTAAGTCTTTCCCATTATTTTGGAATTTGAAATAAACATTCAGTGTGTTTAATACAGAGACGGTGTTTGCTATATTAAATTCCTCCGAATTATTCCACCAAGAAGTATAGCTGGATATTCAGTTGATTTTCAGGTCGTGTGTGGTGGCGTAAAGTCTGGCCAGCATTGAAGAGCAGGCCAAAGAAGACCCTCGAGAGTGGCTCTCTAGAACCCCCCATAGTGGAGCAATTTCTACCAGCAGTGGAGTAAGCATGAAATTTCAGAGCCCGCATCTTTAACTTTTATAATTCAACCAACAAATCAAGGATGTTATGCCTATCAAAATTACTCAAATTTATTCCGCATTGTAGTTCCTTTTACAGCCTCAAACGAGTAACTGGTGTGTGAACATCGCCATGGGGGAGACAAAGGTGGCCGGGCGTGGTGAATCCAAGTCCCGGGCGAAGCCGGGAAGTAAAGCTATTAAAATATAAAACGACAATTGTTTTAAGTGTTTCATATTTACATAGTTATGCTGTGAACAGGCCATTACCCTTGCCAATGACATTACTACAAGTTGCATAACACTAATGACAGCAGCTGTGAAACAAGTGTCAGTTAAATTCCACCATGGTATGGTATGTAATTTATTTGATAATTACATTTCAGAATGCCCGTAGCCGAGAAGTAATTGCAATAATTTTCCAATTTACAACACTACATGCATTTGCATACGATTTATCAACAAACTTCACAGCAACATTTATGAAGGGCCATTGCTCCAAACGTCACTTGTTAGGTGTCCTTTTAAGGCAGTGCTATTGACAAGTGTGTTGAATTATTTATGCTTCTGCACTACTGCCAACGCAGTATCACCAAATCCTTCGTATTAAAACATGTTGTTTTACTTTACCGAAAGAGCTAAGAATATGTTGTTTTCCTACCACCGATTTGCACGGTTGGCTACGTACGGTCCGAAAGAAGTCGAACGTACATACAGACATCGACACAACCTCTCGCCGCTTGTTTTTTTTAACAACTGTCGTTGAGAAACACTAAAGAAATTAACGCTGCCCTTTAAAATTGTACAATAAATATACGCGCTGAATAAATGTGCAATAATATCACGACTAAATATTTGCTGCTACATACCATGACCAAAGTGTCAAAGAGAAGAAAGGTTTAGGGTTACAATTACATTCATCCAATGCAAACAAACTAAAATCATAGCTGACAACCCAATTTCCAAATCTACTTTCATGCCAATTGCTCAGAAGGATTCATAAAATATATACGTACTATAATAGTGATAGCTCTGTGGACATTTAGACAGCTCACCGTATAATGTGTCCCTGGCTCTCACTTTTTTAAGTACTCAATCAGCCAGTGCCAAACAGATGGGCATTTGGCACCCAATTATTTTAAGCACTTGTGTAAGCACGAGTTCTGGGACAAATTAACACCTGAACTCCACCACATGCCGCACTGCAGTGAGGTATAACACATTTCATTTTGCATGCAAATATCCCGCAATCATGACCTTATGTTGGCACGCAACAATTTGTACAACAAATAACTGCTAATGCGATGCTATCAAACATTCATCTGGGCTTTGCTACACAGTAGCAATCTCCGCACATTAAATAACATCTCTCAAATAGGCAATTGAACAGAAAACTAAATTTTAAGCTTACACAGTGACCAATATATAAACATACCAAATCTATGGTCTACAAATATACGATTTTAGACATAGGTGAACATAAAGTACAATTAAAAGCGGATTCCTCATTCAATTGTACAGTGAGGGAAAAAAGTATTTGATCCCCTGCTGATTTTGTACGTTTGCCCACTGACAAAGAAATGATCAGTCTATAATTTTAATGGGAGGTTTATGTGAACAATGAGAGAGAATAACAACAACAAAATCCAGAAAAACGCATGTCAAAATTGTTATGAATTGATTTGCATTTTAATGAGGGAAATAAGTATTTGACCCCTCTGCAAAACATGACTTAGTACTTGGTGGCAAAACCCTTGTTGGCAATCACAGAGGTCAGACGTTTCTTGTAGTTGGCCACCAGGTTTGCACACATCTCAGGAGGGATTTTGTCCCACTCCTCTTTGCAGATCTTCTCCAAGTCATTAAGGTTTCGAGGCTGACGTCTGGCAACTCGAACCTTCAGCTCCCTCCACAGATTTTCTATGGGATTAAGGTCTGGAGACTGGCTAGGCCACTCCAGGACCTTAATGTGCTTCTTCTTGAGCCACTCCTTTGTTGCCTTGGCCGTGTGTTTTGGGTCATTGTCATGCTGGAATACCCATCCACGACCCATTTTAAATGCCCTGGCTGAGGGAAGGAGGCTCTCACCCAAGATTTGACGGTACATGGCCCCGTCCATCGTCCCTTTGATGCGGTGAAGTTGTCCTGTCCCCTTAGCAGAAAAACACCCCCAAAGCATTATGTTTCCACCTCCATGTTTGACAGTGGGGATGGTGTTCTTGGGGTCATAGGCAGCATTCCTCCTCCTCCTCCTCCAAACACGGCGAGTTGAGTTGATGCCAAAGAGCTCCATTTTGGTCTCTACTGACCACAACACTTTCACCCAGTTGTCCTCTGAATCATTCAGATGTTCATTGGCAAACTTCGGACGGGCATGTATATGTGCTTTCTTGAGCAGGGGGACCTTGCGGGCACTGCAGGATTTCAGTCCTTCACGGCGTAGTGTGTTACAATTGTTTTCTTGGTGACTATGGTCCCAGCTGCCTTGAGATCATTGACAAGATCTTCCCGTGTAGTTCTGGGCTGATTCCTCACCGTTCTCATGATAATTGCAACTCCACGAGGTGAGATCTTGCATGGAGCCCCAGGCCGAGGGAGATTGACAGTTCTTTTGTGGTCTTGTAGCCCATTCCAGCCTTGTGTAGGTCTACAATCTTGTCCCTGACATCCTTGGAGAGCTCTTTGGTCTTGGCCATGGTGGAGAGTTTGGAATCTGATTGATTGATTGCTTCTGTGGACAGGTGTCTTTTATACAGATAACAAGCTGAGATTAGGAGCACTCCCTTTAAGAGTGTGCTCCTAATCTCAGCTCGCTACCTGTATAAAAGACACCTGGGAGCCAGAAATATTTCTGATTGAGAGGGGGTCAAATACTTATTTCCCTCATTAAAATGCAAATCAATTTATAACATTTTTGACATGCGTTTTTCTGGATTTTTGTTGTTGTTATTTTGTCTCTCACTGTTCAAATAAACCTACGATAAAAATTATAGACTGATCATTTCTCTGTCAGTGGGCAAACGTACAAAATCAGCAGGGGATCAAATACTTTCTTTCCCTCACTGTATGTATTGCTCACACTGCAAGAATATTTAGGTACTTCAAGTACAGTATTTCCTAAAGGGTATAAATTCTTCGATTTGCAGCCTACGTTTATACGGTTATTCACTGGTGGAAGTAGCCCATTAAGCTCGGGTTTCATTTTCTCATTGTCCATGGTAATTATGGTTTGTTATTATGCCATTGCAAGCAGGTCAGAGTATTCCTGACAACCGCAGGAAGTTGACCGGTTTTTAGGA